TTCCCGGATTCAACTTTGTATCCCATAAAAGTTGATCAAGTATGGATACAGCCACCATCTTTTTGGGCATATGACTGGTAGAAAATTGGTGTCATTCATGATATACCAAAGCAGTCAAAAATGAACAAAAAGTGTGACTAGAGAAAGATCCAATGATTCCCTGTACACTATATCTATGATAAATATACTCAACAAGGAATTATCTATATAGTGAAATGATGGAAAAAGAGAAATTAGTCAAGATTAATATTTCTTGAAAATTTGAACCTTTTTAAACCAAAATTGAGTGATGATAGTCTTCTTGCCAATGCAGTGCTATTGTAATAGCCTCAAGTAGGGCAAGGGTCCTACATATCCACTTGATGTCAGATTCTCTTTGAAAAGAATGATAAAATTCATTCTGGAGATTGATTATTGTGAATAGGTGTAGGAAGCAACAGAAACCCAAAGCATGAGGCGTCCAAAACAATTGAATCATGAAGCAGTATTAGAAAAGGGGATCATAGAATTTTCCAAACATGTGTTTCCAACAATTAATGCTTGTAAATTGTGTTGTTTGGAAAGTTATAGTTTCTCCAACACTTCTACATTTTTGCATGCATTCTTGGTTTTTCAATGTCCACAAAAAATGCCGGTTAGACAGGAATCTCAAGGCTGCAACTATACTGTAGTATACTATACTTGACTATACTTGGTATAGTCTAGTCAAACTATACATACTGAACTGTACTTTGCAGTATAGTTGGAAAAGTTGATGGGAAACATGTAAAACACTTTTCCAGGTATAGTTGGTGAAAGGATTAATACTGAGTATAGTTGGGTTACCATCTGGTGACCCTCCCAATCACATAGGCCAGGGCCGGGTTTTCCGCCAGTTTCTGAGAGGAGGGTGACAAAAAAGGTCGGAATCCAACTCTTTCACAAAAACATTCAAAGCTCGAAATTTACGTCACTACCCTTCATGGGCGCTTTCCAGGGTCCTCTTGGCAATTATCAAGAGTCTCAATAGAAGGGGGGTCGAGCGCGACTTATTTGGCAAGGGCACGAAGGGCTCAAAAAAGAAAGACATTTTTCACCTTTAGTACAATATACATTCAAGACAACTAAGTAATAAGGAAGTGATTAGCAAGCTCAAAACATTCCTTTAAAAGACTGCTATAAAAGATAGATACACATATATATGTATGTATGTATGATTTTTTAGTTATCTAATAGAAAAGGAAAACTCACACCCTAAGTATTTTATTCAGTGATCAAATATAAACAACATACATCAGAAAGTGAAAAAAATTGTATAATCAAAGAGAGTTTTGTTTTATTTCTTCAACATTCGAAACATTGAACGGTTTTTCTACTAAGATGTCTTATTGAGCGCAAGATGAGTGACATCTACAATCGTTTGTTCACCTGTTTCAAGTTGTACCATCCAATCAGATGCATCTCGACTGATCGTAGTAGCTCTTTTACCACGATATGCTCCATCTAAGATTACTACTGCTTCTCCTGGTGCTCTAGGTGGAACAGGTTCTAAGTATTCGATTGGGACTGGTGGTAGATGTACATTCGGATCAAGTGCTTTCAAACTATAGGTTGGGTTTCTTGAGGTATTCAAAACTCCGATTACAATTGCATGTTGATGATCATATCGTCCTCCGTTAAAAGGTGGCTTATCTCGTGATCGAATGATGACGACTTCAATACCAGATTGTGGCCAGTTCTCGGGAAGGCCTCCGTGTGTGACAGAGATGAGAGGAGCTGTTGATTGATTCAAGAGTCCCCCTCCAGGTGTAGCCGCTGTATACGGTGTGGCGCCATTCGTATTGTGATTATAAGGCCCAGCAGGACTAGGAGCATAGGCTGGAACTGAACCGTATGGTGTCGCGGCTGGTGCATAAGCGGCAGGAGTTGGGGCGCCGTAAACAACTGGCGTTGGTGCGTTCCCGAAGGCTACTGGCGTAGGCGCAGTAGCATAACCTGTGGGGGTTGGTGCTCCTGCATAGGGAGTCACACCACCAGGGGTAGGCATGTTTTGCATATTTGGTGTGGGAGCAGTGGCAGCCGATCGACTTGCATAAGCAGTTGGAGTGGGAGCCACAAAAGGTGTCGTGCCTGTAGCGTTACCCCAACTGGACATCGAACCGTCCTCGCGTCGTTCTGATCGATCGCCTCGTCGGGGATCAGAGACTGACATCAGACCTGGTGTTCCTTTAGAATAGGTGTCCAGTCCTGGAGTTGGGGCCTGAGCAGGTGTTCTAGGCCCCCATGGGTCGTGAGGCGTATTGTGTTCGATTTTGTGAGCCGGTGTTGGAGCATGACTTGCATTGTGGTTGCTTGCATCCCACGAATTAGAGTTTCCGTAACCTGATGCAAGCGTAGTTTTTGAGCTAGGGTCCCAGGCTCCGGACGTGTCGAAAGCTGGCGTTCTTGCTCCCGCATCTGCATATGGATTCGACGTTCTACTGCCATCACCCCCATAAGATGTCCGAGAACCATCATATGGATTGGAGGTTCGACTTCCAGATGCTCCCCAACCTGGTGTTGCTCCTCCGAAGCCACCGTGAACAGATTGAGAGCCCAATCGACCGGCATTGCTACCTGACGCATTAGCTCCACCATCACCGAAACCCCCGGGTCGGCCACCTTGAGCAAAGTTTTCGCGGGCAAGCTCTTCCAAAGGACGAACTTTACCATCCCGGCTATCATCAAAGATACGATCAGAAGACCGTCCACTAGATCAGAGGCATTTAAAAGGCATGAACATACCCTTTAGCCCCCAGTTTCGTCTTTTCCACTGTCAGTGTTTTATTGTTTGTATGAAGTTCAACTCGAGCAAGTAATCCATTGATGTCTTTGATGATACCTTGAAGCCCTTTATTGGGACCCTTGATGATGTAACAAAGCTTACCAATATCTTCATCTCTCTTAAATCTTTGACCGAGTCCGCCTGCAACTGGAGCAACACCTCCGACCGGCGGTCGTCCAGCCATCTCGGGATTCATCTTGGTCAAGTCTAGGGCACCCGCATCCTTCTTTCCACCTTTAGGCGCTACAGAGACCAAGTTTCTTGCGTTCGTGACAAACACACCTCCATTCTCCGTAGTGTCGTGACTGTGTAAGAACGCATACATCGAACGGTATATGTGCAGGACTCGTCCACGTCGACCCTCCGTCCGACCCTGCAATGACCGAGTGGGAATTAATGGATGCGCAAAAGGAAAACGGAAGAGGTAGATGATTTGAAAGTTTTAACCAACACCAATAGACTTCTCTTTCATCTGATCGTTGACCGCAATTTCATAACCGTCTGCATCCGTAGCAATCGCATGTCTAGAGTCTTTCTTGGCGCTGATTTGATTAGGCTTGACATTACGAGTATTGCCATTTTGATCAATAACCTTGAACGTATCACGTTCAATCTTAAAAATCACACCGGTAGTTTGAGGACTGCACGCGAAAAACCGGTTATAAGAAAGCTGACCCAGACTGTCTGATACGGATCAAGATGATACTTACTCAAGCTGGACAAGATCATAAAGTTCGAATTGTCCATAGGTGTTGGCTCCACTACCAACTTCAGCGGCCACACGTAGATCCCTAGCAAACACTTCGACTTCCTTGCAACTAAGATCACTGAGAAAGGTTACCACTTCTTCCCTCACACGTATCACCAAACCAGTCTCATCTACGTTCTGACCCGCCATCACCTTTACATGATCACCTGGCTTGAAATTCTTCCGTAGAGATCGTGCCGGAATTTCAATGTGGGCGCCTCTGAGTTCGGGATGTAAGAGTGGAGACGGATCGATGGTCACAATCTCATTTGCGATAGAATGCACCGTACCCTGAATACCCTTTTGATCGCCTTCGAAAACTTCGACTTGATCACCCGGTTGAAGAACGATAACACTGGCTTTCTTGGTGAGTTCAGCGATTTGCGACAAGTTTAAATCACGATTCGTATCACCGGTGTCGGACGGATCTCCCAAAAACCTAGCCACTTCATCAATTGTCGGATTGACGTCCACAACTTCGAGGGCGGATATCCTCATGTCTTTCTCAATATAACCTTCTTTGAAAAAGTCGCCGCGAAACATATAGCCTCCATTTTTGGTTCGACTGACGTCCGCTGCCTTATAAGCTTTCTTGACCTCTTCAGCATTAAAGAATTTTTGAGGTGGCCTGAATGCTAAGCCACCACTAGTGGTACTGCCTTTCTTTCGTTTCTTTCCATCCGGTCCTACTTGCATTCCTTCCTCTTTTGGATTCAGATCGATTCGAGGAACAAATCTCAAGCCTACATCATCTGCGTTCTCCATGATCTCATTGACTTGAGCCAGATCACCTGCGTATTTTCCTCGTTTGATTCTAACCCAACTACCATTCACTATAGGCGTCTCGCGCTTTTTGGTTCGCAGTAAGTCGGGCATTTCCTCGATAGGAACCATTCGGAATTCGGTTCGGTAGACTCCCACGAAGCCTTGTACTGCATCACGTACATCAGTCTCAAGCCTTGCTTCGACATAGATGTAACCCTTGAGTGAGTCTCGAAAAAAGACTGAGATGATTCGAAGAGCTTGAGGTGTTCTGTAAAGCGCTTCGCATTTTCTGAAGATCGCCGAAACTAGTTCTTTCTCGCGTCCCGGCTAGTAGGCAAAGAGAAACATCAGCCATGAAATGTGACATGAAGCTCTGGATAATGCTTAGATCCTTGGTTGTAAACTGACTTTGCATCTGACAGCCCATATGCTAGGATCATCCACACTTGGCATGAGCATGTTTTTAGGAATGTGTTCGCCCATGTCCCGAGCTGCTGCCCGTGATTGTCTTCCATATCTTTCTCGGAAGCTGGTGAAAATAATGAAAATAACGTCAACCATGGATATTATATGGTGTATTCGGTTTAGAGAAATGTCAGGGTGCGGTATTTACTCAGCTGCAATCTGACCTAGATCAGCATCTTCCCTTGCTTGTCTACTCATATCCAATCCTCGATGACCAGCATCCATTTCAAAATCATCATCGCCACCAATATCCCGAAGAAGATTGCGACGAGACGATTGTCCAGCTTCTGGTATCTCATTACGATCGATGAAATCCTGAAAGAAAACAATTGCCAGTGTGGATGATTATGAGTACTTGAAAGAGTGGGACATAAACTTTTTCAAGAATGAGCTGCTAGACAAACATCTTCTGGTCCACCTAATCCATCTTCTTCTTCCTCTTCTTCCTCGTCTTCGTCATCAACATCGGCTAAATCATCAATATATTGATTTCGGCGACTCTTGCGACGTTTCTAAAGGTTCAAAAGGTACAGAATATCAGTGAATGAAACATTAACAAAATGTGGGTCACAGTCCTTACCTTAGATTTCCCTCGATCATCTTCTTCCTGAAAGTGGCAAGATCGATGATCAGAACGTGTCAATTACAGAACGCTAAACGCAAAAAAGTTTGATTACGAACCTCTTCTTCGTCTTCCTCAAAGATATCATCTTCATCTTCCTCTTCTTCTTCTTCTATATCTCGACTTCGCTTCCCATTCTTTCCTTTCTTAGGCTCGTCATAATCGTCTTCCAACGCAGGACGTTCGTCATCTGATGCCATGCTTCACTGTTGGATTTTCTGTATTGGATATCGAGACCTGGACAAGAATTATCAGATGAAGGTTTTATACGTTCGTTTTGAAGGTTTGCGATAATTGATAATTGTTGTTCTGCTCGGAATCTGATGGTGTTGATCCCAATTTAGCAAATCAATCAAAGCACCTGCGTAATACCATAACTACGACTACTTGCCACAGATGTATAATGACATAACCCATGATGTTAGCAATAGTTTCAACACTCCTCATCCAGGATTCAGATCCCTTGAGCTGGATAACTTAAACAGTTCAATACTAGGACTAATGGAAAACGGGTTTTGGGGTCAGAAAAGGTTAGCGATGAAGCATTCAACACAGATATCACATGAACACCATCACCTCTTTTATCAACAACTTTCATAGCAGCTGAGTAGAAGGATCAAATCTTCCATTCTAATTTCTCAACAAAGCTTCATTCCAAGTTTGTAGAATTTGAGCCTGCAGTTCAAGCTCAGCTATGTATAACCCAAAGGAACTCGTTGCCACTAGCAAAAATTATCGACCAACGTTGTATACAAATTCTTCTGTTATGAGAATTGACTTCTTTACACCAAGCGTGACGCATGTATGATGCACCAATATCCATTAGATGGATATTTCAAAGAAGAAGATTGAGTCACGGTACAAGTTAAGATTGCTTCAGGGAATACGAATGTGTATCAATTTAGTACAACTAAAATCATAAATTCATAAGGATAAGATGAAAGAACTTCACTAACAAAAATATAACAAGACATCTCAACCAAAGATAACGAATATGTAGAAAAATAAAATCAAACCGGTTCAAAAGGATTTGGTACAATTCCCGTAAACGACTTGATCGAACTTTGAGTCACCCAGAGAAGTGTCGACGTGAGAATGATGTGGACAAAAACATGAAATACAAGTACATATGATCAAAGTGATGGTGAAGTAAAGCTTGCGTCAGTTTTGTAAATGATTTAACAGTTACACCATCCAGATTCTTCTGCATCATCATCGTCCAACGTGATTGTACCAGGTAAGGTAGCCAAACGATTGTTACTGCGTAGGTTCAAGCCCTTGTTGTGTAATGAGGGTGTGTCAATAATCTGGTTTTCATTCATAAAAATGGGACAGAAACAGAAAAATGTATTAGAAATGGTCATCACCAAGTATTACTGCTATTAGACGAAAAAAGAGACTCACTTTATCAACAACAGCTTCGAATACTTCCTCTACACCTCTCATTGTCTTCGCACTTGTTTCAACAAAAAGAGCATTGTTATCCGCTGCAAAGGCTCGACCTTCTTCAATCGAGACCTCTCGTGAGTAATCCTAGAAGATACACCACATTCATGAGTACAAGTTGATTGGATTCAAAATCAAGTGTTGATGCAAACCTTATCGGTTTTGTTTCCAACCACTATTCGCACTACGTCTCTAGGAGAATGTGTGAAAGTGTCAAGTTCACTAAACCAGGATGGAAGGGATTCGAAGGATTCACGACTTGTGACGTCATAGACTATTTGTGATCGAAGAGGTGAAATAGACTCAGTTTGGTGATTTAGTGGTAAACTATAATGCTTTCTAATGTTATAGGTAAAATAACTTTAACATGGGGTTCAAACTGACCCAAAACCACTCCTTGCGCTCCACGATAATAGCTACTCGTCAAAGTTCGGAATCGCTCCTACAAGGTAAAAGAGGAAGGTACATGACACGGTACATGATAGGAACAGAGTAAGTCAGTCTGAAACATGGTACACTAGGACAAGCAACCGTATCTCAAAATTATCAATACGCACTTGACCAGCGGTATCCCAGATGCTGAGCTTATACCGCTTTCCACGCCGTGACATAAGTTTGACTTTGAAATCAACACCAATGGTAGCTGAAGCTTCTTCAGCCGAAAGAAAAACTTCATCGGTGAATCTCAAGAGAAGAGAAGACTTTCCGACCTGAAAGACAAAACAAACCATGCCCGAGTAATCAGAGCGACGATATCAGTATAAAGGGAATTTGTAAATGAAATGACAAACTGATGATGATCCGATCAAAAGAAGTTTAAGCGTTTGGGGTGGATCAGTTGAAGAGTCATTTGAGTTAGAAGGACCAGGTTGAGGATGAGAAACCATGTTGAGAATGAGATATGATGAAAGAAACAGCCAAAGTCGAAAGGGCAAGCTCACTTAAATCATTTGGAGTCTGGACTCATCTCATTACGTAGTCACACTGACACACCAGGGGCATCGGTCTCGGATCCAAGGCCGGATACATACACACAAGTGCACAGCCCAAGAACTCTTCATCCACTCCTGATTTTTCAATCTCTCTCACTTTGTTGCAATTGTAGAAAAGTTGTATGAAAAAAATGAGTTTCTTCCTGCTTTTTACCTGTTATGAAAGCATACCAGTTCTATATGTACTTTTCTTGAAGCACGTTATCAGAGTGATTTTAAAGTTGATTGCAGTCCTTGAGGACATACAATTCTGAATCTTGGACTTGAATGCCTCATGTTAATGAACCTGTCTCAGCGATACTCAAAACTCATATCCTACCCCTCAGCCCACCGACCGTTTTTATGCTCTCAAAATGTGGTGATACGGATAAAATGGTTCAAGGATCTTTGAGAAAGAAGACTAAGAAAGATTATAATTCGTATCATTTTGGGTAAATGTGAATGTGAAAGTATGAAGTGTATCAATAAAAAACAACTGGGAAGAAAAATAAGAGGTATAAGATGAAATAGTTCAAGTGCAATGAAAATGAGTTTAATGTGAAGGAAATCCAATTGGGTCGGTTTGCCACTTGTCTTTCGAAGATGATCAAATTGGAATGGTTATAAAAAATAAAGGTAGATTTGACTGATGATGATGATGAATTCTGAAAAAAATAGAAATAGTATTAGTAAGAAAGATTGCACCAAGTTGATTTTTTGATTTTCTGGTTGATATATTCAAGCCCTATGCAAGGATAAAAGTACTATTCTGTATGAAAAGAATCCAAATAAGTCAGACATTTTCCAAAGATTTGGATATTCGATATGCGTTTCGCTCACCTCTAGATGAAAGAACGCCGTACTCAATTCCCATCAACGTGCACTGAGTTCTGACCTTGTCTCAGCCCATTCTTCACCAGTTCCATCCGTTTCATAGCTCTCAGTCTCATCTAGGTGATGAGGATTTTGAATAACTACGGCTTCGATCGATTCATCACGGCTCATATGCGATTTTCGATTACTTCGACTTTCTGGTTTTCGATGTTCATCTCGCTGGTACCTTGTTGGTGGTGTGCTCAGAGTTGTACTACCACTTACGCGGCTATAAGGTAAAGAAGTGTTCAATGGACCGTTTTGTCCAGTATGACTTTTTAACCAAGCATAACGACTTAAAGCAGACGATGGAACCCGAGGTTTAGGTGATGAAAAAGAATTGCGTGAAAAACGATTTGTGACCGAGGAAACGATTGGTGGTACGGTAAAGTTAGGCCCTTTGTGTCTAGCAGCTTCGTTGGAAGGTTTTTGAATTGCTGGAGGTGGTATCGCAAGTGATTTACCCTTAGGTGTGCCATAATTAACATTTGAAGATTGTTGTTGATAAGAAGGCGGGATGACGCTTGACTGATTGTTTTGTGGTGGAGTTGAACGTAGATACACGGGAAGGAGAGGCGAATTCGAAGATGTAGCAGATGAGATCCGACGTATAGCTTCGCTACCCACCTCTCCCTTTTCATGAATGATGGGAGTTGTCGAAGAGGCTCCACTGGCCTCCGATAAGCGTTTACATGAAGTAAAAGATGCATCGGAATCAGTCTTGAAGGTGACCCGTCTACTGGCTTTCATATTGTTGATACTAGCGTTTTGATTCATCATGAACATCATTCTCTCCTGCCTTTCGTCGAGTGGTGGTGGAGCTTTTGGTCCCAGAAAATGACTGACAATACAGGTGGCAGTCCATACAATTGCCTGAATGAAGGTCATGATGCTCAATCCAATAGGATAATCGAGGAAAAGACTAGCAAAAGAAAAACGAGTTTGCTTCTGGTTTTGCTCCCCCGCAAAGGTAGTTATTGAACCTAAAAATCCGCCGAGAAGGATAGTTAAGAATAGCAAAACGGCCTCAAGTAGTACAAATATGGCCATGAGATGACTGTGGGCGCGTTCTTTGATCCGTGTCTCTATGAGCCGATAGATGAAGTGATCAATTTGAAGAGTTGGACAAAAGAATTCCAATGCCAGCCATCCTATGAAGGTTAATAGCATAGCTAAAGAAGCGCCCAAGGCAGAAACGAACATCGATCTATGTAAACAGACAGGTGTTGAGTTAATATGATTCCCCGAAAGCATCTAAATGGAATTACAGGAAGAGGTCAAGTAGTCTTACCTAGCTACACCAATAGCCAAACGATGTTTTATCTTCGAGCTGAATAACAAAGCATCTCCCAAAGGGATAGCTGCGATACATGAAGCATAGGCTATCAAAATCATATTTTGCCATATGAGCTGTGCTTTGTCAGATGCTTCGACCATCATGACCTGAAGGATGCCAAGCGATTAAGAAAGAATATTTATAGATGAGTGTAGGTATATAAGTAGTACAGTTCGATGAAGTAAGCACGGGTGGACAAGGAGTGATCTTTCGACGTTCTGATACCAGTTGATGATTGATGAAGGGACGATTTACAGCACGCAGAGGAAAACGAGGAGCTGGCGATGACAATGGGAATGAACAATGAGGAGGATTGCGAGCTGTCAAACGATTGCTATTATAGAGAACCGGGATAATATATGAAGGCTCACCCTGAGATGAGATGATTTCATGGATTAGTTCACCTCAAATTCACCATGACTCTTTCTTGGTTTGAAATCACAAGAAAATTGTAGTGCTGTGTGGCTAACAAGGAGTTCCATAAAAATGAGGGTCGCACGTTTCGGTGGTTGGGATCGGATGGACAGATAGCCTTGACTGGGTTGCCGATGGTGTGTGATGTATGGTTAGATCGTAAAGTTGAAAGCGGAAAGAAATCTCAGACTTAGGTGAAAGAGTATTCAAGCAAGCATGTCTTTTTGGATGATCGCGAGCATCACCGGATAAATTATCTATGTTGTGCTTCAACTTCCTCGTTGTTGGTTTGACTCATGCCGCCGTTCTGTCAAGGATCCAGGCTAGAGATTCGGAGTTGACTAAAAGGATACATTTCTATGTGTATAGCCAACTTGTTGCTATCTGCCCACTTCCATTAACCACGGGATCATGTCGCCCATCCTGTTCACTTGAAGTGGCCATTCCGACACATGTCGTCCCATACGATACTGGAAGTCGCTCGCCTAAGTGTGAAAATATAGAGGTGATCTCCCTACACTCACGCCAGGCCACATCTTAGGTAGTCTAATTCAAGAAATCAGCATGATGATGATGATCTTCCCTCAGTGGCGAATCACGTTTATCATATTCAAATCGGACATTTTTCACACCATCTTCAGGCAGGAGTATGGGCGAGTTACGAAGCTCTCATCTTCACTTGAAGATTATGTTGTCAAAAGACACACTCTGTCGGACATACACCGCACACAATTGGCCCATGCGGTGAACTTTGCCCTTGATCCAACTCTCCGTTCAGTATGTTCAAGGTTGTATCGCTGAAGGAAGGCAGTAAATGCTATCGCCTGATCTTATTCTTTACTTCATGGTCCGCCGTCCTAGCGAGGGAGCTGAACTGTGGAGTAGGTCATTGGAAACTAGCAATTTCTCGACAGACTTAACTAATGAAAGCTTGCTCAGAGGTCACAGAAGGCTAAGCCTAAAGCGACTTGGAAAGAGAAGACAGACAGAAGACTGAATAAGCACCCTTGTCCTCCGGCTGCGGATGGAGCTTTTTTGTCCGTGCTCCTAGCCTGTTGAGATGTTAGCTGGGGGCAAGGAAGATACATACCGACTCAAAACAGGGATTCTGACAAAGCACGAAGCTGTGGAGGCGAGCTCAATGTGCACAAAGTATTTCTCTCCTCGCTTGACAAGAGCAACCAATCAGTCTCAGTCTCAATTGAGCCCATGGTAGCACAATGTCAACACCATCTGAGGTAACATATCTGAGGACTGTATTCAATACTACTATAAATTCCTTTCCGATCAAAAGAGTCATAAGAAGCAGCTAGGTGGGTAACATTAGGCAGAAGAGCAAAATTCTAGTCCTCGAGCTCGATAGTCAATTTCTTCGACCTCAAACATGAGCCTTTCTTTGAACCGGTGAGAGATGAATACATCTCCTTGCGTAGTCCCGTTACTCACATACTATCATCGCATGTTTCTAATTAATCCTTGGTTACGGGATTCTTCGAGGATTAATATGAAGCGCTTCCTCTGTTCATAAGTTGGAGAATCAATGGTCCTAACAACCAAGCTCACGACATGCGCGTTGGTGGGGTCATTCAAAAACCTAAAGAGTTGACTTTGGAATGCTCTCGCCTTAGGTGGATTTAGCACATCCAACCAAGGCTTTTCTAACTGCAAATCATGGGATATCCAATCCACCTTGGCTCGAAATGTTTCAGTCATGAATCTGTCAATGAACCCTTTCATTTCTCTCCATTCTCCTGCTCTCTTTATCTTTTCATATTGCTCTGCCATTGGTTTGATTGCTTTCAAAAGCTCTTGTCGGGTTTGAGGCGGGGAATCTGTATCCGTTCGGATCGAAGCCCATGCTGGTGGACCAAGGATTTGAGCGTCTTGTAGCCATTCTTCAAAATTGACGTCATTCATTTGGCTACTCAATATTTGGGATCCCTCAAGATGTCTAGCAAGCCATTGATACTCAGATTGAACCTGATTCATAGCTCTGGTTATTAAGTCATCCCATACTGCTTGTGGGTCATTTGGGTGAAATCGACGAACGAGAACTCTCGCTGTTTCGTACGCAGGTCGATGATTGCTGTAAAAATTCGAAAGTAACACTTGAACTTTTACTGCTTCAATCTTTGTTGGATCTCTTGTGAATGGACTTGTCCAACCCATATGTTCAGCAAGTTTGGTAAACAGCTTGATCTCGTTAGCTTTAGATTCAATTTCTTCTACTCTTTCATAATATTTTTGACTCCCTATTCGATTCTGAACTTTCTTTAGTATGTTTTTCATGAATGTACTATCAGTGAGACCTCGACCGTCTTGTAGAATTTGAGCCACCACCAGTAAATTTTCAATATGGTCTGAATAAGCTTCGTGCGTAGGTGACTGTGTTGAAATCAAGTCACCGAGCTTTTCGTGTGTTAAAAAATCTGTGACGGTACTTCCAAACTCTTCCACCATGGGCTCATATTGTGCCTCGCGATACAGATTGACCCCAGGGGCTAATAACTTTGAGAGCCTCAAATTTGCTTCATCCAACACCTCTTTAGAGATTTCTTCTTTCTCTGTGAACGTGAACAGAGCTAGTGCTTGCATCCGATTTCGATTTTTTTGAGGTGATTTCATTGCATCCAATCTATTTCTTATAAAAGTTGTAGTATACCGTATAGACATTTCTTTAAGATCACCAGGATTTTTCATAGCAAGTCTTCTCAGACGATCATCCAATGATTTTTCATGTAAACTTGAAAAATGCGCAAAAAACCAAGTATAAAATTCATATGCTTTGAAACCTGCAAAATCCCTTTCTTCTGAATAAGGCGCTTTTGATAAATGTGCAGCATTTTCTAAATATTCCCCTACCCAAATCAATGCAAGGTGAGATCGTCGAATAATTTCATCTGAAAGTGTTTCAAACTTTTGTTCTCCAATATTACTCGAAAAGTACTTTTTCGCAATAGCGTAATTTCTTTCAGATTGTGTTTGTAGTGATTTCAAAGTACGCGAAGCTTCTAAACAGAATTCAGGCGTGAAAACAGACGGAGTTCCTTCCGGATTGTATCCAATCGCCGCCGCATACTCCAACATGTACTCATTCAATTGAGGATCCCATGGTGTAGGATGTGCTGCAAAAACCTTTCTCAAGCCGCCAAATTCGATGATATCTCGGATGCTCGTGCTTTTAGAGCCAAAAATCTTAGGCAATAAGTCTTCAAATCGTTTCGGAATATGATGTTCTTTCACTCGTGCACTCTCTATGACTTTTTGCCATGAAGCCAAGGTGTGATATACCTCGGAGTTTTCAAAATTCTCAATATACCTTAAAGGCTGATTGATATCGAAAGGCCTAGCTAAAGAGTCCGAATTTGGAAGACTTGCAAGGCCTGTTTGTGGATTTGCCGCTTTTACCCGTACAAACCGTTCACCTAGAAACGATTATTTGTTGTAGTGTCAGGGTACCAACCCGCACCATGGTTGAAAACGTATGTCAGGAAGGATTTCCTACCTGCGGTTTGCTCGGATGAGAAGGGCAGCTTAGATGAATGTGACGAACCTTCAAGTTGTTCTACCAAAACAGGTTGCTGTTGACGTTGTGCCTTCCGAGCTGAGATAATTATATCGAGATTTCATGAAAGGATGTCAGCCAACGGTTACGTAGAAACAGGTAGAAACTCGTTCTTCAAAACGTCCAAGTCAATTAGCTCAAGATCCTCACCTTGTGGCTCCAGAATGCCTTTGCGTTTCCTAAGATTATCAACGAAAGAAGCAGCAGAATTCCCTACGAGATGAGGCTCTGTGAGAGAGGTCGTTCTCCATGCCTCAGGCTGATTGCCTCTTTGAAGTAACTCCCGGTCCCTCAATGCCGGATTGCTCAAAATTTCGACGGCGTTTCTGAACATACCAGAATTGGATTGAGATGTATAACTATCCACGCTTGCTCGATCTCGGGTTGTTGGGCCTTCTGTACTTGAGACCCCATGATCTGTACTTTGCATTGATGATCCGCCTCTTGTCGGGATGGTGAAGGGAAATGCTGGCCTCGAATGCGACATTGAAGTTCTCAGTTCCCCAACATCAGAAGAATATGGGAATGAATGATGTTCCCGCAATGCAGCACCTCCCGAGGACAATCCTACTTCAGTCGCAAGACTTGTACCGCTGCTTCTCCCTGTCGGAATTGTGACGACCCGATCGGGCAAGGATTCCCTCTCTCCATTCTCTGGTGTATTTCTCGACCGAGGTTCAACGGCAGTCTTTTGTAAGTCAACACTCAGAGGTACAGGAGGAGGAAAGTCGAAGGAATCTCGGGTATTTTCTACTGCTGTGATCGCTTGCTCGCCATCGGCTATCGTCGACTTGGAGAGACTCGAGCTTCTTATGTTGTCTTCTGACCGCGTAGAATCTGACACAGTTTTCCGTTGACGACTTACTATTCTGAACGCCGAAGAAGGGCTAAGGCGAAGACCTGTATCTAAAGTAGTTCGACGTGAAGCACCATATGGAGTTCCTGCGGGATCCGTGTCTGAAGGTGGTACCGCTAGTTTGTCTTGGTTAATTTGTGATCGTTGTGCATCTGGGTGGGAAGGTGTCTCCCGTGATAAATGCTGAAGAAGATCTGGGGTGGCCTCGAGATCAGGAGTCGCTACAGGTGCTTCACCGCCACTGGCGGCTGAGGCCCATCCAAAATTTGCTCGAGCAGCCTCTGCACCTTCAGGGGACACAGGACAGACAATGGGGAGGCAGACAGTTGAGAATAACAAAAATACACACGTCACATAGCGCTGAGCTGGATATCTCCACCAAGGCATATTGTGCCAGGTAGGATTAGACTCAGATATAGGAAGACCTTCAAATGCGAGAATTAGAACGACTAGCAACTCACCCTGGAGATCTGACATCTTGCATTGATTCTTATACCTTTACTCCGCACATTGTCTTAGTAGACTAGCTTCGAGTTAAGATATCACTACTCAAGGCTCATGCGTTCAATAAGCTTGAAACAAGCACCGAACCTGGCACGAATGCCTATGGTCGTGGTTTCAAACCGCATTAGACTGTGGCTCAACAAGATGGCCGCTCAATCATCATCACGCCCACCGCATCAGGGACTGAAAAGCGACTAACACTTCATAGCTTTGACAAATGTGGGTGATCGAGGTTTTGCACGAGGCTTCAGACTGTTTTCATTCATGTGCTACATGGAAATCGGGACACATTTGCTTCAATGATTTCAAATGTAACCCGTCATGTGAGCGAGAAAGGGTGACAACAATTTTGCCTCAAAGTTTGCGTGAGTTTTGACACCTCCACGCCAGTCCACGCGACTAATCATCCACCCCGACTAGGCGAAACATTATTGCAAAACTCTTGGACAAGTTTCGGGCGCGTTGTGATGAAGTATATCCGTACATTCGACTTGGGAGTCCATCAGAAATAGATGACTCGAGGAACAAGTGATCGACCGTCATCTGGTTCACTCAATCAATTTCCGCAATGTCCTGAACGTACATTTCTTGCGAACCCAGAAGGAATGAGTTAGTCTTCAATCACATCATTGAAGAATTCATTCACCGCACCGACACGCAAAAATCAGATATGTTGTTTGGATATAATCAAGTGAAATATCACCATGAGACGTGTTTGAAAGGCGACCTTAAATGCATGCTTAAAAAATTACGAACTCCATGCCCCATGAGAGGAATCAGCAGGGATGCGCTGGTAAGCTTGAAGATAGTGATTCTATAGAGTCACATTACCGGATAACCCAGAATGGTGGTGATGGGCGAGAGCATGAATGAGTGAAGCATTCTATGTACCGAACTGCCATTACAGAGTTTGAGTTTGAGAACACTCTTATGTGGAAATATTTTTGTTTTTTGCTGTTCTTCAACACAGGTCTAACAGGCATAACATCTACGATCAGAAAGAGGTGGCTCACATAGAAATGTTGAAGTGATGTACCGGCTGAAATGCCTTGATCACCAAATCTATATTCTCAGCTTGACTATGACTTTTTACAAGAGATTTGATCCAAGCGCCACCAAAGATATCAATGGGGATGAGGTGGATTTAGTGCAACTGATGGATCCAATAGAGCTCACCGGCGAATCACAGGCACTTGTCACCCGTTCGCAGTTTTTCTCGGATCGAATTAATCTCGATCGACAAGACCTCCAAGATATCAAGGCATCCGAAAATACTTTGCATTTTCTAATTCAGTGCATTCTGACTGCTTTAGCTCGTCGGATAACCCGCTATTGAATTTGTATGAGCAACTTGAGAGTTATATAAGTTCGCCTACGTGGTTTCTGCTGGATTGAAGACATCTTTCCGATGCTGAAAAACTGTTTTGTTCTTTGTAGAAGGCTTTGAACAAATATCATATATAGATTTTTGTGTATTCATAAATTGCGCTTCTAAAGATAACGTACGCAGACGTCTCATGATGAGGCCATCTTTTTTTTACCATCAAAGGATGGATACTTGTCACCAAGTTTTCCGATACAAGCCGATGATAGACCAAAGCGTTGGGAGGCCAGTTGACACTTGAGAAAAAATCATAGAAAATCTCTGGACTCCGCGGTTCCGTTATATTGGGCTGCGGCTCGATTCGGGATGGATACACAGACACATGGTTGAACATAATGCATGTTGGTGTCATGAATCGTGATTGTTACTCCATTTGAGCCAGAGACAATTGGATCAGCCGACAGTCGATTTGAATCTTTGCGCAGATTGTGAATGGATCAGGTTCTTTGAAGTTACTGTTTGGGAGGTGGTTCAGAGGAGATATGAAGAAGGAAGACCTGATAATCCGATAATAATTAGTTGAACTTGTTGGAACGAAGTATTAACTGATAGCGGGGCTATCGAAGTTGGCTTTGTAGGGATGTCTGTGTTACCGTTGAACTTGAAAGCGGTGCCTCAAATCCCTTATAAGAAGTTCTTACTAATCTTTGGTAAACTGTTCTCAATGTCCTTTACCTCTTTACCTCTTTACCTCTTTGCCTCTTTACCTCTTTACCTCTTTACCTCTTTACCTTCTTATAAATTTTTCGGAGTTTGTCCCAAATTCTACGTGCCGATACAAATCCATTTTTAAAATGATAATTCAATGTGTCCTCACTTGTTTAGTTTATCAGATTGTAACCTAAGTCTGGATGGAGGAGGTGAGAGTTATAAAAGTTTACCTTTGAGCTTTCTTCTGATTATTTGTAAGGTGGGAAGACCTATTTAGGGTGTCGAGAAAAGGTTTTATGCTTTGAAGAAGGCTTTTTTTATAACGAAGCGTAAAGATATCTTATCTTGCAAGTATGAAAACCAAACGGTATCTAGATCACACGCCCAAACGCTTCATGATAAACACCACAAATCTTGCTTTTGTGACGATTAAATGAACAAAGGATGGATATCCAAGTTTCGCGATACAGATAAGCCGAATCGTTTGGAGGCCAAAGAAAAATTAAGGAATTCTACTTGTCCTCTGAGTCTGATACCGAACCAGCTTCTGTGTGATGAGTCTAAAGATATGAACCAAACTACCAACATCAAGCTCCAAGATCATCGTAGTTCTCAAAACTCAAAAGGATGATATGTAAGTAGGTTAAAGATCTTCAACTTCGTATTTCAAAAATATATTTCATCCACAAGAGAAAACCCTTTCCCTTCATCATAAGAAAAAAATCCAACTCCCCCAAACCAAAAACAAAACAAAAAAGAGATATGAAAAAGGTCAAATTGAAAAATCGGCAAACAAAGGAGGTAAGTTATCAAAGTAAGGAAGTAGTAGTAGTAGTAGTAGTGTTAGAATTTTGCAAAGCCCTATATATTTGAGAACCAAGTAGTAGATGACAAAGAATGTTTGTCAACAAAGGAGGAAAGATTTGAAAACCAAAAAAGAAATCATTCGATTATAGAGTCTTTTACGCCTCCGTAGCTTCTGGGGCAGCGGCCTCAGCATCAGGTGCAGCTTCAGCAGCGGCCTCGGGCTGAGCAGCAGCCTCAGCGGGTTTGTCCTCAGCTATGTTTAGTGAAACAAAGGAAGAGATGGAAATGTTGTGAGTCAACGGGTAGGCTTTGCTAAGCAACCAAAATCAACACAGGAAGACAACATACCATCGTGCAGGTCAGAAGTCCAGAGAGTCAAGTTATCCCTCAGGAGTTGCATGATTAGTGTTGAATCCTTGTAGGATTCCTCACTGAGTGTATCAAGTTCAGCAATCGCATCATCAAAAGCTTGTTTAGCCAAATGACAAGCTCGATCAGGTGAGTTGAGGATCTCATAGTAAAAGACTGAGAAGTTCAAGGCGAGACCAAGTCGGATTGGGTGAGTAGGTGCCAAATCGGATTGAGCGATCTCAGTGGCTTGTTTGTAAGACTCATGAGCAGCCTCGGATGCTGTTTTGCGTCCATCGCCAGAAGCGAACTCGGCCAAATAACGGTGGTAATCACCCTTCCTATGTAAAGATCAGCAAACCGCGTCAATGATACAGTTCTCAAGACAGTTATAAAATAGACAATGTGAAACTCATCACCCACATTTTGTGGTAAAAGACTTTACTTTCACCGGCCTCAGCACTTGGGATAAGATGCTGGTCGAGAACAGCCAAGATATCGTTACAGACTTCGGCAAGCTCAGCCTCAACCTTTGAACGATATTCCTTAATCTTTCCTACATGTAATTCATTACCCTTCGTATCTTCCTTTTGCTCAATGGATGAGATTATACGCCAGCTTGCCCGACGAGCTCCAATGACGTTCTTGTAGGCTACTGATAAAAGGTTACGTTCTTCAACCGATAGCTCAACTCCGAGCTGTTTAAAACTCGATTGAGATCAGTCTACGCGACTGTCTAGGTTAGAAGAGTGATGGCAAATTCACCTTGGCAACGTCTTTCATGAAAGTGACCATTTCGTCATATCGCTCAGCCTGCTCTGCGAGCCTATTGGATTAGATATTGACGTTAGGATTGAGAGTACATGACACAAATCAGAGTGGAAGTAAAGTGACTTGAAACTCACTTGGCCATGTAAACTTGGTTCTCCCGCTCCTAACCATCCAGAGAAAGTACAAGTGAAACAATGTATCAAGATGAGATTCAAACGGGTTTGAAGTGAATAGAATGCAATCGAGAAAGCGAAAGAGAGTATTCGACTTACGGAAGACATTATGATTGAATTGATGAGGTGAGTAGGTAAGGTTTAGATTGGTGAATGCTTTGAATGATCAGTTGAGAAAGGTAATGAGAAAGGGTTGTTAGTTTTGAAACAAGTAACGTGCAGAGATCGAACTCGATCGGTAGTTGGAATGACAAGAAGTGATTGCAAGACTCTGATGAAGATCGTTGCAAGACGGTGAACTCACGATTTGATTAGTTTTCAAATCGAAATCGGATGATGATGATGGTATTGGAGTTGGTGAGTGAGAAGAGCTTTAGTTGTTGTTGGTTCAGATGGGTGTTGGTCAATGGTGACTTGAGTGAATTATTCCTTTCTTTCTTTCCCTGGTTTGATAATACAAGCGCACAGACCACCCCACCCCATCAGTGCACGGTCCACCCTTACCACTTATGTATGTACATAACCTTGGCAACTCGATCCTAATTTCTGACATTAAACTGCGATACAGTAATCCAATGCTGCGGACTACTGCCATGGAACAACCTGGACTTTTTATCATCATCACCCATACTTCCTTGCAATTCCCATGAAACTCTTTCAGTTCGCCAAAAATAATGGCAAGTCTTCAACAAACGGCCAAAAATCACATTGACCTGAAACACTACTAATCTTCCTTATCCACTGCTAAAATCACTACAACTGGAATATTCTGGGAATCTATCAAGAAGAAACGAGACAAAGACAAGATAAAGTATAACAAATTTTCAAACTCTGATTGACACCCCAGGAATTTATGTTCAATATGAGAGTTTGTACAGGATTGCGAGATGAGCACGATTTCCTTATCAACTCTCTTCATAAACCTTGAAATGACCCTGTCTGTAAGCTACTAGCATCTGGTTTCCTCCCTACTTACTGGCCACAACGGATAAACAGTCGTGATCGAAGAAAACGCTCGTTAGATATCGGTGCTACTTCCTTAAATTCAGGGAAGAGTGGTTTGATACTATACTTTCAATTTTGTCCCTTATAATGAATACAGTTGCAACCGAATCTCAAGAATCAAGAAGAAAGCCCTTGTCTAATTCCTTACATTGGACCAGAGTGAATGAAGCTGGGACTGTTATCACAGACTCTTATCATCAGCTTATTAGTCAAGCTCAGACACAAAAGATGTCTGAAAATCACCATCTCTGGTTAGCTCTGGTTCATCTCTTTCGTGAGAGATGTACGAGACAACGTCAAAAAGGCCATATATAAATGTACAACGAATCCTATGAAGATGGGGGCGTAGATTAGATTGACTGCCTGCGTACCATGGGTTGTGCATAGAAGGATAGGTTGTTTTTAGAGTGTGGAATACGAAGCTACAAGCACTATGAAAGAAATGAAAGAAAACTGCAGTCTGAACTCACGCTTTGGGTTTCTCAGAGGCTCAACCGTTCGTATCATTTCAAGTATTTGTGCATGACTGTATAATGGGTGAACTTCACCGCGTCTTTCTCATGGTCTCAGTCTCGTCCAGTTTTCAAACATTCAAGTCACATGCTAGAGTGGCTATGCAAGATTCCTCGTAATGCGCTCGAGAAAGCACGAAAACTTGGAACATGGGAGGTTTACTGGCTTCCTCCTCAAGCCTGAAAGTTGACTAAGTGATCAAACACACATAGCAAAAGACTACGGAACAGGTGATTTATTACACATTGCAAAACCATTGAAAAATTGTAATACTAAATAAAATGATAATGATTCTTGTTCTTGTTCAGAATCGATTTTTTCCCGTGAATTGTTCAGTATGAAATCTTTTCATTCTATCAAATCAAATCAAAAACAGAAAACCCAATCAGTCAAGAAAATTCAGAGTAGAATAAATCGAGTTGATTGAAAATCAACTCACAAGTTGTAAAACTTCTTGCAAAACTTCTTGATAAGATGTTGCATATTCTTCTACTTCTTCTTTGATTTTGGCTGCTTTTGTTGGATCTGATGCTACTAGAGCTTCAGTTTTAGCAGCTTGCCTAGAAGAAAAAGACAATAAATCAAAGATAGATTAATATCACAAAGCTCATAGAAGTAAGGGAAAAAAATAAAGAAGAACTATAGTTACTTTTTCTTGGCTGCTGCACTTCCACCACTGGAGTTTGAAATCATAACACAACTAGTAGGCCTTTTTGTTGAGGAAGCTAATCCCAATGATTCCTAAAGAAAGTCGATATAAGGAGGTCAGATCAGAATGATGATGATTGGAGATAAGACGTAGTAAATTATTATTACCTTTGAAGTTACAAAGACATAACCCGATCCGTTTTCTTCAGCTAGTAATGGGATATGAGTCAAAACGTCCATTGGTGAAATATCACCTGCCATCACTACCAAACTGAAATGCAAAACTTTAACAAAGAATCATTTTTTTATTTTTTTCTGAAGTAGAACTAACCCTTTATCACCCTTCCTTAACGCTTTAACCACTTCTTTCACACCTCTTCGAATAAATCGGTGCTTAGAACCTATTTTTCCAATCGAGAAAAAAATGTTAAGATCGTTGAATGATGTAAAACACAAGATGATTAAGATTAGACCAACCTTTTTTAACCGTACGAAGAACTCTTTTTCCTAATTTCTTATCAGCCAATGGATGAGCGATAGGACTTAGTGCATCCAGTAAAGAAGAGTCAAGTGTAGTTGTTTCAGGTAAATCTCCATCTTTCATAACGATTTCATTATTAGTAGTTTCTTTTGATTTTGATTTCTTTTTGACTGATCCTTCTTTGGATGGATTTGTTTCTTCGATAGTTGCTTCTGTTGCTTTTCTTTTCTTGTCTGATTTGCCCATTTTTCCAAATTAAATGTCGATTGGATGAATTGGTTTATTGAAGAAATGAAGTTCAAGGAAATGAAAAGTGCATATATTTGTTGTGTGGTTTTGGAATGAAACAGGGCTTGATAAAATTTTGATGACTTTTTCGTACAGCTTGAAACCTAAACCTACAATCAGCTCTGTCGCAGTATTACATTCCGTAACAGCTTCGGGACAGATATGTGAACTGTATGTGACATAAACAGTTTGGCTGATAAAATCCGTGGAATTGGACCTCGTTCACTTCGCGTCGTAGCTGGCCGCCGAGATCGAATGAAGTTCAAAGCAACAGTCAACTTCAATTCAATGCCGCCAGACCAGTGAAATTTTACTATCAATGCAGCGTACCTTTCTTCGCTTTGCTACAGCGTCCAGGCGTCTTCCCGTTGATGGATTCTCATTAAGCCACGTGAGCCTTGATCGTCAAATCATAAAGAGAAAGGTCAATTGACTGGGATATCAAGATTTAGTTTGTACTGGGGGCACAAGTCCGATCAATGTATCGTAAGATTATCAGGGAGACAAGAGGTTAGCAATTTTTCAACGATCAAACTGGTTTTCAAGAATCTCAACTTCATTTCGATTCAGGACTCGGGTCATCACAAATCAGGATGGAAACCATTCTTTGGATCCGACATGATTTTGATCAAAGTCTTCACGAAACGAACGAAGTAAGCTCATCTTCATTCCCCTACAGTCTTAGCATGTCGATTCTCAATTTTGTGTGGACGTGATTTTTTTTATCTTGGTTTGTAGGTCAAATTGAAAGATTTAATTACCCAGGCTCAGCGACAATTAAGACAACTTGGTAATCAGAATATTCTAAATGGTGGTCAATTTGAAAAACTACGAGGTGGAAGGGTTTGAATATCAATCCCCCAACATTGCTCACTCAATGATGGGTGATTGCATCTTCTTTCAGCATTGTATCCATTATCAGTTCGAAATCCGAGTTGCAAGGAAATGAATCAAATACATTTACTTTCCGTATACTTGTTTCTAAGGAGGTGCTTTACTCTTATTGAACTAGTTGTTTATGTTTCTTCAGGCGCTTCTTTTTCATCTTTTCAACTGAATATTGCAACGATAGATTGTTGTGTAGTATATATTTCAAGTTTTGGTAGTGTAGCTTGGTGGTTATAGCTTGGTGGTATGGATTCATACCACCACAGACCAGCAGAACAGAGCAACGTGTTATCATAGAGTGTTGGACTGAATCCAAACACAAACAAAATCTCAGTATAAGAGAAACAAAAAGAAAACACAATAATCTTATATAAAGATTTTGTTATGATACAGTCAGATGAGGAGGGGAAAATTCTATCGGACTGATTGAGGATCAGGTTATAAAGAGAAACGAAAAATGAAATTTACATCTATGACATCATAGGATCAGTGACGTAATATTCAGCCTTCGTTAGCTGTGGCCAAGGTAGGCCAACCTAGGCATGTCAGTGGTCCATCGTCAATCTCCGAATCACTGCGACACGCCCATGCGTCAGAGGTGCTCGATAAATATTGGATAGCAGCTCGGTGAATGAGCAATGGGGTTTGGATTTACAGAAATGATATATGTATGTATGTACAAGGATGAGATGATACTAACACAAAGATTGCGTGGGAAAGAAAGAGAAAAGAAAAGAAAAGGGAGGGAGAAGGAAAGCATAACACCGGCGCTTCTTTTTGCTTTTGCATACGTCCTTGTCATGAGACCACGGAGGGAAGGACCATCTTTATGCACTCAAGGAGCTTGAGAACCTTTGTATATGTTTCCAGACTTGATCATCCTCATGAATGGGCGACTAACGACCACATCCAACTGCATGGTGAATGAGACGAAAAGGAGATGATTGCGATGTTGTGATGTACCTACTAGAACAACGACCAGTATTTCCTGCTTATCTCTTGGTACAACTCTCCGTCGGGCATCCTAGATGCCATAGAACATGGTCGTTTAATTCATAAAAAGAAGCAATTCATTATCAGAATCGTACGCTTGATCAAAGAAGATTCAAAGGTAAACTTACGCTGATGTAGATGGCGGGTCTTGCAACGGTAGGTCATCGGAACTCCTGCCTCGAGATGGTAGCAAACTATTAAGAACGATGGATGTTAGGATATCTAATACCGAAGTGGACAGTCGAGGTATCTTTGCCTGAGGCTATAACATGACGATTGACTCAACTAATTGGTCGAACTGAGTTGCTCTCTGGATTGTTCTCGACTCCTCCGTCGCAGTTGAACGATCCTGTCGTGCTCAACGGTCTGCCGTGGGGGTCGATGCAGTTATCAGCAGCTGTGCGATTTTTCAACGAACAAAGTGGTAAGCAACCTGACACCATCTGCCCATTTATTCAAAAAAGATTGAAAAATAACGTACAGGGTGATTTGCCATCTCCCCTTTTGCACCCCTTACACGTATAGTAGGTTGGGACTCCATCATTGCTTACAGCACATTCTTCGCTCGTGTTAAAAAAGTGTTAGAAATTTTCGAGAGTTTTACGTCAGTTGACATTATCCCTCAAAATGGTATATCACTTGGAATAATTGAAACACCAAGGTATGAAGGCAAATGTTGGACTGACGATCTCTATTACCATTATCCTTCGTTGGTCTTTCCCACCAGTAGTTGCATTCTATATAATTAGCATCTGCGAAAATGTGTGACCCGAGATCTCCTGCAAGCAAGAAGACGAGCACCAGAAAAAAGATAGGGTTCGCCCGCACCCAAGACATATTTGACAAAAGAAGATAAAGTTGGGAAATTTGTGAGTCTTTTGGACAGTTGGAAGCGGAGGAAAAATTACTATTTGTGGTGAGCACGCCAATGGAGGAGATCGGGTGTTGAAATACGCATCAATCCTCATTGACAAAAGCTGCCTTCTATATTTATCGTTAGGTACGAGAGCCACGTTCTTCATACGCCTTTCTTACGGGTCTGACAAGACACAAAGCCCTGAGATCGCGCCGTTCGCTGCTGGAGGGGTCTGATATATCACGAACCCTCTTATTGTGAAGCACGGGGTTGTGATGATACACGGTTGAATATTGGCAGAACCCCGGGGGAGTACCGACTTCGGCTCGGTGTTACCGACGGTTGTTTGGTCGCGGTTGGTTGACCACTCCTCAAGCATCACGGTAGAGTGGTTCAGCTTCGCGTTTACCAGAGGCTTAACTAACCCCTCACGTTTACCAATGGAGGACAGGCCTCTGCCATTTTTCATTATCGCCTTCGATCATAGGACACATTTCTCATGTCTTGTTCCATTCTCCTTCGCTATTCGAGCAACCAAGCACGGACACCAATAAATGTACATTCCACATGTTCAACAAAGTCAATTAACCGCGTACTAATACTTGCATTGATCCCAAGGCTTTGTAGCGTCGCCGAATGGACTCGATGAATCACTATTCAGCTGCCGCGCTTGCAACAATTGTAAAATGTTGTACATATTCAACAGTCAGGAAACATTAATTGTTATCCAGTCACATCAGAAACAATGTCAGGAATCATGCTAGGTGACTTGAATCAGCTTGAATCTGAACGAAAATGTCAAATCAATCATCCCACAACAATAGCTGCCAATGTTGAGCAACCTATTTTGAGCCCCGCAAGTGAGCTACCATTCCTTGGCTAATTAGGGTATACAAATATGGTTCTGAAATTTCCAGAAGGGTTTTCCCAGAACACCAAAGGTTTTTTTGGGGGGTATGTTCTGACCTTATGGTGTTTTGAAGCTTTGAATAACCAACACTGTGTGTTTTCCAGAACACCAGGGGGCTTCTGGTGTTCTGGAAAAAGCCATCTGTAAATTTCCTGAACAAACTTTGTATACCCTACAACAAGGACAATTCCACTTCTGAAAAGGAAAGAAGTACCTTTGTTGACATGCTTGCAATTATTCTTCAATTATGGCGTTCAAACCTGTGCAAGAAATTTGCAATTTTTGTGAGAGTTCTGTGCAAGTTCTTTTAACATCTTGCATAGAACTTGCACGGAACTTGCAGACTTAAGACTTATGTATGTTAACCTAGGCTTCCCCGCTTTGAGGCCAAATGATTCAGCTTGCACAGTTTTTTCAAGTGGGGTTGTGAAACAATTAATTAAGCAAGATCCGTGCAAGATTTCTTGCACAGGTTTGAACACCATAAATATTACAGTTGCCCATTTTGAGCATCAATAGCAGCAGAGATGACAAAATTTGACTAATAAATTTTGCTGTCTGGTCCTCTCATCATTGGTAATCACTCTATATGCCTTTTCCCAACGGTAAATACCCAATTCTAACTCTACATTGTAATTCTCTATCAGAAAGTTTGCAATCCTAGCAAAATCATCCCATGTTGTCTCAAAATGTGCCTTGTTAATGAATGAAATGACCAAGGTGAGTCCTCTTTGTTCCTTGGGTACAGCAAGTCATTAATTGATCTGATGGTCCCATATCCATGAACTACACTGCCCATTGGGCTTGTTCTAAAGAAATCTTGTTAAAAACTTCTTCCTCAGTGAATGGGTCTCACATCCGGCTGGCTTCCAGTTCTTTTCACCTTTTCTTGCATATCATATCTTTCTCTTCCTGTGTTTGTGCATGGTTCTCCTGTGGATAGAAATTCCTATCTTTCAATGTGTGATCCAGGATACTTGATTGTATCCTGTTCAAAATTCATGGATGATGTTCTGATATTTCTTGTCCAATCATAGGTATTTTTTCATCTTATCCCACCCTTTCACCTTCATGTTATGCCTTTTGACCATGACCTATTTCTCTTCACAGTATCCTATTGTTTCTGTTCCTTTTGTTGTGGTATTTAATAACCACGCTTTGGTTATGTCTTTTTCATGTCTTCTGCCTCAAATTATTATCGAATTCACATCAAGTTAACAATGTGTCAAGGACTTCCAGCTCACTCCCAATTGGGTCTTATACATATCTATTTAATCATTTAGTGATCAAGTTAGAAGTTCAAGTGACAGTGGAATGAGAGTGTAGGGTCTGAGTGTTTTCTTTTTATGCTTCTTTAGGAATGGGTTGAGCATGACCTGCGCTTTTTTGCTTTTTGTTTGTCTGTGGTTATGTGTTAGCACATGTGTTGTGATTTCTCTTATATATTGGCCTTAGCTGTACCACTCATTTTCTTTCCTCATTGGAAAGAAACTGTAAGTGATTTCTTATTTGTCTTCATCAATTACTTTTACAAATCCTTTTTCTAACGCTTACATTACAACTATTCCACCTTTAGTTGTTATTACTTTCATACTCATTCCGTTCAATGTTTTGCCTTATACTCCCTGTTGCTGTACGCACAGGTGTGTTCTTTTTAGTAGCTCTTCAAAGCTTCTTGGCTTGTGCCGACTTACTCACGTAGCGCCTGATGGCCCCAGGTTGCCTGTTTCAATACATTGGCCATAGCCTTCTGTTTTGAATGAGCGTGATTTCTCACACCTTTCATTCACATACTATCTCCTTTGCTGAGTAAGTCTGGTGTTCTGGCTCTTTGTCTTCTCTCTCTTCACTGGTGTTTTCCTCTGGATCTCTATTGCCCAAACTGACTTAGTCACTGCATTTTTCTCTTGGGCTTATTTTCCGCCAGAAAGGGGAGATGTGGGGAATCAGCATAAGTCAATTTCATTTCTCTTCAAAGAGGGATCTGTACAATGTGGGTTTCTTTCAACACTCTGATCAACCAACAACCATGTATGCTGTAAGCATTAACATTATATCCAATAGAGTGTGTGTCTACAGCACCTTCTATTAGTTTGTATCAATATCACAATTTATGACACCCTGTCACATCAACAGGGGTTCTTGGCCTGTCAATATGCTTACAGAAGCAGTCTTAGGTTTCAGGAGAGAACAAGCTACAGTTGCTCCAGTCTAGTCATGACCAGACTTGCTCTGCAAAATCAAAATTTGATTACACTGATTTATACACTGAAATCCTACTTACAAATCATATGTAAAAAGTCATTTTTGGGCTTTAAGGAGGGTGTTTGTGTCAGAAATGACTTGGTAAGTCAATCCGCTCAGCCATTTTTTGGGTTTTTTTTTACAAAACTCCAACATTTGGGTCTAGGTACCTAATGGACCTAATATGAAATCCTTAAGTACTTAACTCAAGTACTTAAGTACCAAATTAAGTATTTAAATACTTAGGTAGCCACTTAAGCTAATACTTACATACCTTGAGTAAGTAGGTGGAGTACCTCTCATCACAACCCCTGGGGTACAGAACAGCATAGACTTGTATTTTTGCAATACAAGGGTGAAGTATGTGGTAATAGAGTGCAGAAAAAGTACTTCTGCCAAAAAAACCCCGGCAAATTCTTTTGGGGTATTACTGGGACCCCCTAACATTTGGTTCTTGGGGCCTGGGCCAAGGCCGGGCTGTGGTTGTGACTAGACTGGAGCAACTGTACACACAGTAGCTTTGAAAGAAAAGAAAGAAGCCTTATAAAGCAAGTCCTTCTGTTCTCTCAAAGGAAGCCCCCATGCCCAGTGGGGTTGTTTGTAAATAGATTCAATAGGAACTGTAGGATAGACAGGTAGTGATAGAAGAAACAATTGTCTCTTTTTGAGAACAGAAAGCTCATCATATCCCACTGGTTAACCCTTTAGGATTGTTCCTTGCTCCTCCTGTCTTTGCACCTGCACCATTATTGGCATTCAAGGTTCCTTGTACATATGATCTTCTGCCAGGCTGAGTGTGATTGACCCACTCTGCTCTGTTCATGGAGTTGCTGAAGATTCTAAGGTCTGTACAGTCCTTGTGGGCATGGGGATAGCTGGTATAGCACATTTTGTTGACCAAATCCTTCGTAAGTACACTACTGCCATATAACTTTCTGACTTCTCTGTCTGGTAAAGTCTGATGGTAAATGCCTCTACTCTGCCAAATGTTCTTATGCTTTGTGGTTTCCCCCCTCAAGTTTACATCTTTATTGCCACCATTCCTCTTGTTCTTCTGATTGGTTGACACAAACTTATGTTTTTCAAAACTGGTTGTTTTTGAGGTCTCTGTTTGTGTTTCCTCCAGGACTTTCTAGCACATACAGGTTATCTGTGAAGCTCTGTTAACCCCTTAATCCAGCCTTATCATCTACCAATTGCAGTAAGTCTTCATGTGATCTTCCCATATGAACTTGCATCACCAGTTTTCTCACCTGGAAAATAGGGTTTGGACATAGATTAGGACAGGAAAGCTCTTGAGAGAGATGTAGAATGGGAGAGATGGGTTCTCTTACTTTCATGTGATACGGTAACACTTACATCCAACATGATGTGGAGTGTCTGATGTCAATCATGTTCAATCATGTTCTCTTTGTGTTTCTTCAGCATCTCTGTGCACTGCCCCATGGGGTATTGTTCCTCCAAATGCCTGATACAAAAGTCTATAGCATTGATCTATTCACCATGCATGAGCAAGAATTTGCCCTTTGGAGTTAACTTTAAGTGAATTACTTGTCTTAGGGTTGCAAAAGACTTTGAGAGGGATATATGCTCTTGATTTTGTCAACCTTTGGTGTACAGTGGGTCTCATCAAAGCCCAACTACCCCCCCATAGGGGGGGTTCGAAATTTTGGCCTCTGAGGACCTCGAAAATCAGTGAAAAAAGTCATTTTCACCGTGTGATTTGACTGATTTGGGGTTGGATTCCGCTTCGGGAACCCACTTTTACCAAGTCTAAAGCCATATATTACCCTCTGGTACCCATATAGTAAGCCTAAGGATGTGTTTAAATGTGCTCGGTTCGAAATATTGCCCAAATGTCTAAAAAAAAAAAATTTGCCTCACACGCGTCCATCCTCATAGGATTAGAATGAGATAGGTCCCCTGAGCCCATTAAGCTTATTAAAATGTGTGCTATGTAATTATGAGGTGTGTATAATTCATCTCGAACTTGAAATTTTGCTTTGCGGGCGCGGGGTAGTTGGGCTTTGATGAGACCCACTGTATGCCATGTGACAGCTGCAGTAAGTTCTCATTAGAGATTCCTTACCCACAAAGACAATCTTACTTCCAGGATTCTCGAAGTCAAAAACTTGGATACCAGGGGGATATCAATGTAGGCACTACAAAAAAGCACCTGCATGTTCATTTCAAGATGTAGGCGCCGGAAAAATATGCCTACATCTCAACATTAAGATATTGGTGGATGGAAAAACTATATTCACTTGTGATTAAGGTTTTGGTGGACAGGAAAACCAATTTGAGTTGCAATGACAATATCAGTGGATGGAAAAATCAATACTTCCAGTTACAATTAGGATATGGTAAGGATGTCAGTGGAGGGAAAAAGATCTTGAATTATGATTAGAATGTTGGTAGATCGGAAACATTTTTGACTGACAGTTGGGATCTTGGTGCAGAGAAAAAGTGTTGAGAGTTATGAATAGGATATTGGTGGATGGAAAAAGAATTCCAACTAACAATTGGGATATTGGTGTACAGGGCAAACATTTTGATTTGACATTAGGAGATTCATGGGTGGAAAATATATGTACACCATAAACCCACAAACCCAGTTCCTGAACCATGGCCGGTCCCTGGTCAAGAAACAATTATGGCTGCTTGGGAAAAAACATATATCCAACAATCCTTGCCAAACTTGAGAGGCACTGGGCTCTGAAGCTCAGTTCTGTAACAGATTTAGCTTAGTGCAAAATCAGGGGTGGTCCCATCATTCTGTCCAGCTTGCAGGTTTTTTGTTTCATTTGCTCCACATAATTTTGTTTGGAAATTGTTATGACCGGGCTTGGGGGTTAGTGTTAGGGTTGGATGTTTTTTAATCTTTGAACTGTACGTCTGATAGGCACTCAGTGCATGATTGCAGGTGACATGCCGGCATACATGGCTACCCAGACAAGGAAGGTAATCAAGATCCTCTTCCCCTCTCTCAATCTGCAAAGACTTTTATTGGTAGCTATCAAATCTTCCTTCTCTCATACTTTTTTGTGATACCAATCTACTGATCTTACCTGGCAAGATAAAAATCTCAAAAATGCCTCTGAAAGGAGAGAAAGGTTGCTTCCAGAGCAATATGGCAGAAATATGGACCCTGTTGAATCAAAAGATTTTCATAAGTGGCTCAAGGTCATTTACATGAAATAGATTAAAAAGGGTTTAGATAAAATCAGAAGCAATCTCATCCATTATCTTTGCCCAGATCAAATTACAACTGTTTTTTCATTTGATTCTTTTCATTTTTCATCACCTCACCAATATTTATATTCCAAATCAAGCCAAGATGACACCATCCCTCTTGAACATGCCAACCACTGACTCATTGTTGATGCAAGTAGCAGCTAGCACCTGTTCTTCTGTTAAATTTTCTTGCCTTCATGATACAGAATCATGAACTCAAAAGTGAATATCAATAGATTTACAAAACAGAACATGACTTCATGGGAGGTAAAGTGCTTGATTGTGAAGATATTCTAGCAGAAATAGATCATGTTTGAAGAGCTCATTATGCATGGCTTGTAAGTTGTGTGCAAGTTCTCTACATCCCAAAGAAGGCACAGGCTAATTTTACAACATAGTTTCCAACAGAGAATGCAAGTGATGCATTGGGGCTATGTTAGCCAGATTTAGTCACAGGATTTTCTTTTGCAAAATACAAACAGCTGCCCAGGGTATGTGAAATGAGTGTATCACAAGATCTTATTGAACAGTAACATCACTAGCAAACTCGGAAATTGTGGGGGTGCTCGTAGCCTGCAGTTTCAAATCCAGTGAAAATGATGGCGATTTGGAGTGGCAGAAAATTGGAATTAAATGAGCATCAGCCTCTGTTACGTTTGACTGATGATTCAACAGCCTAAAATACTTACACCGATCAAGTAGAATTGAGAAAGTGTCAAATGATAACTAAGAGTTAGAGGAAATTCGATTCAGATTAATTATGAATGAACACGAAAATTTTGTTATAAGTAGAGTTCATCACGAACCGTTGACCTATTCCCTTTCCAAATTTGTTGGCATTCGGTAAAGTCACTTTCCAAGTATAGGTGTTTCCTTCAAATTTTGGTCCAGATTCGCCGAATACTAAGGTGCCAACATAAACGGTGTTACCGGCACCTACCGGTCGCAAGCCAAGGGTACAGGCGACTTGCTTCACTGAGGAAGTGGTGGCTGTTCAAAAGATAAGTGATCAAGTCAAGAACGGCTCATCAGAATTTATGAATTGGTAAATCTTACATTCAAAGTTAAGTACTATATTCGTGGTAGCGCCTGTTTTCACAACCGCATTGGTCCCAGGAGAAGTAATGGTCAATTTTTGAGACAGTACCGATGGTAACAAAGCGATCAAAGCTACAGCAAATAAGTTGCAAAGATTCATCTTGTGGTGCAAAGATTTATCGTGTACTACGATGTTGAGTTCAAAAACTGTGATTAAAATTTGGATGGTTGGTGGAGACGCGCGAGCAGTTTGTGTTGATGGGACTTGGTTTTGAGCGTATACTTTATACGTATATATATGTTTGTTCAACCTGTCTATCACTGAAGAATTCTGGAACCCACGAAAGAAAATGAGTCGAATGTTCCGATTGATTGATACCCCCGGCAGCTCGTTGACATAATTAGAAAATCTTGCTTTGCTTCTCACGCACCGTCCATTTTACCTATTTCTCAAATTTACCAATTTTGATCTGTTTCAGAAAAAGATCACTGGCCTGTGCAGCCACCTTGCTATAGTGAACAGACACTCGCGAATAAGCACCAGCTCCGAATCCAGTAGGAAAGATGTGGATGGAGCCGGGTGCGAGTGTGAGTCAGCTATATAGGCTAGGACGCGGCGCAGTCGTGCCACGTCAGTAGTCTCTCAGGCTACAACACCCCCCCCACGACAAGACGCGTACAAAAGGAGAAAAAAGAACAAGACCCCCCATCACAAGTAAAAAAAACGAGAAGCATGAAAAAATGAGACAAAAAATTGGAACCCACACGAAGTGATTATAACACCAAAAGGCAGACTGAACAACATTGCCCAGTGAGAAACAAAAAAACGACAAAAATAACGAGAATCACTTGATATAGTGAAAGACAAAAAAAACACAACAAGAAACTATAGATTATCACATGAAATATTCCTTAGGAATATCGGACTCTTCAGCTCGAGCCTGAGCAGCTTCCTCAGCAGCGAGAATATCGTCAGGATCGATTCGGTAGGACATGACCGATGGCGGATCGAATGGAATTTCACGGTCAAGTGAAAAAGTTCCATCTCCGTTGGCAAAATCTTCGATCGATAGTGCGGTAACTTGGGGTTTTGCCGATGCGTCAGAGAATCGTACAGATTTGGTGTCGTGTGTATTCACGTTCCGGTCATTCTTAGTTTCTTGTCTAGAAGGAAAAGGTGACGAGGGAGGTGTGGGATGATTCTGGGATTTGATCGCCCGTCTCGCTTTGTTGTGTAGTTCCGGGCACTCGTCTATCCAGTGACCCTTTTGTTTACAATAATTACAAGGCCATTGTTCGCGTGCTGATATACTCATAGCGTTGAAATCCGAATTAAGATCGAGTTGGGATTCTTCGCGGCGTAATTTGAGATGAGCTGTTTGCAGAGCATTCCTGACCTCGGCTGAGCTAAATGGACGTTGATCGGTGTTCCATCTAACGTCGAGTTTTACGTTAGCAGTATCATAATCGGGTGATTTTGGCATTGTGGCTTGATATATTATACTAAGGATTGAATCGCGAGTCCAGACAAAACCATCGCGTTCAAGTGCATCAGCAAGTCGTTCAATACTTTCAAAATGTTGAGACAGGCTATTGGATGGATCAAATATTTTGCCGTTCATGTCTCTCCAGATGGCCAGTTGAGAGGATCAACCACCGTTCTTGAATTGATCACGTAATATGCAATAGGCATCATGAGCAAGGTAGCTTGAACGGTCACGTCTAACTACAGACTGTAGCATTGGGCTGATAGTATAAAACAAAGCTCGATAAGCGAGTTTGTTTTCAGCCAGATCAACTTCAGGATGGATATCGTGATTGAGATTTGAAGGCTTAAGCAGGTAGTCCGTTTTATCGATCATAAAGTATATGGCATCGTTCACGTTGTCGAGCCAGTTATTGATGTTTGAGCCGTCATTTTCCAATAAGGGGACTTTAGATATGTAACGTTCTACATGGGGGGCTAGCTTATCAAGTTTGTCAAGTCTAGCGGTGATCTGATTGGTGTTTGAAGGAGGTTGAGAAATTGCTGGTTGTCCAATAAAATCATCAAATGACAAAGGTTGAAGTCTTCGTGGTTGCGGGTGATAAGTTCGATTGAACTCAGGATGAGGAGGAGGTTCTCGGTGATCCATAGGCGTGGAAGTGAACTGATCTGCTGAAACATGTTGGAGAGTTTGTTCGTTGGATGCAAACGGGGGGCTTTGCTCATGTAGGTTGGAAGAAGATATGGGCGGAGAGTGGTGGTGTTGGTTTTCTGGTGGGTTGACTGGTGGAATGTTGGGAGGTGGTGGAAGATGTGGTGGTGCTGATTCGGTGCCAAGTCTAGCGCTACCACGACCACGAGAGCCGCGAGTTGAGGAGGTTCCTCTTTGAGAAGGGGAGCCATGTTGGCTTCCACGGTTTCGAGTGGCAGGCGGAGAATGTCGAACTGCCATGTCTAGGATACTACTTCAATAATGTTAAATTCAAGTTCAAGTAATTCAAGTTCAAGTAATTCGAGTTCAAGTTCAAGTTCAAGTTCAAGTTCAAGTTCAAGATTTTTACCAAAACTCAGCAGCGAGATATGCAGTGAGCTAAGGGATCATAACCTATAGTGAACAGACACTCGCGAATAAGCACCAGCTCCGAATCCAGTAGGAAAGATGTGGATGGAGCCGGGTGCGAGTGTGAGTCAGCTATATAGGCTAGGACGCGGCGCAGTCGTGCCACGCCAGTAGTCTCTCAGGCTACAACACTTGCGTGTGCAACAAGGGCTCAACCTTGTTCAACATAGCTTAACAGAGCTTCCATATCCATCCTTGTCGGCGCAGAATGACGTCACGAGGAGTGTTCGCATTTGAATATTGATATGAATCCCTTTTTCTTTTGGTTTGAAAAACATGGCAAAAGTCCCGCGCTCGCGCCCTCGCGAGTTGCGAGCTTTGCAAGTATGCACGAGCGGGGGACTTTGGCTAAGTTTAAGTTTGAAGTTAATAAAGTTATTAACCCCTGAAGAGTGGATTGTTGTACACCACGGGGGGATCCTGGGTCAGAAGTTGGTCCCAACCAGTCTGAAATCCGTCAGGTCGGTTTCCGACCCGAGACTCGCCCCTGGCCAGACTGCAGGCCACCCTGGGCTGGCCTTCACAGGCCGCCCCTGTTTAATCCCAGAGTAGCCAGCAGCGGGACTTGTAGGCGCGTCCTGCGGGCCTATAGACCGCCTGCTTGGTCCTCGCATGGTCAGCGCGAAATCGCGTGGCACCTTTCCAAAACTGATTGCTGAGCCAAGTAAGCGTGAGCACGAGACTTAATTTGCTTGCTGAGCTCATCCTCTCAATCAGTCTATGTGGATGACGGGACAGATGCAAGCAAACACCACCACATTACATACAGATCCTGAAAGGGCAACAACTCGTGGCCTTGGCGTGTTGACAGTGGCTCACTCACGAGTCACTGTCTGGTTTCCAAAAATTCTGGAGGGAACACTCATCGGCCTGTGCAATTTCACTGATTGCCAAAAGGTGAAATACCATGCAGCCTCTGATTGGATGTCGCGTGCCAAAGGTTGGAGGGCACACAACGTCCAATCAGAGGCTGCATGGTGGCCTCAACCCCTGCGTACGAACTTTTCTTGTGTTGCGTCCTCACCCCTGCGTCTTTTTTGTCTCTCGCGTGAGCTCTTCAGTTAAAATCCTGGTCCTTTGGTTTCTTGTGGAATCATCGTGACTTACAACTCTCAGTTTTGTGTATTTAGCTTGACAACGCAAGTGTGACCACTTGCGACGTTGTTTCACTGCGTAAGTCTGAACTCTCCTTATCTGCTTCAATTTTGTCCTTCAACCAGCTAATCAGTCTTGGAAATTGAACTGACAGCTTTTATAGGCTCGTATACAATGAGGATTGTGAGAACTTTAATGGCAAAGGCCACATTACCAAGCTCGATCCATGATTGACGTTTGATTTGCCACCCGAAGAGATATAAAGATCAAGAATCGAGATGGAGAGGATTGTTGGGTCAAATCGGTTCATTTCATTTGTTGAGTTTTATCCCTTTGAATTCATTTCAATCCAGTGATTCACTCTGATTCAATTCTGATTTGAGAAATTTTTAGATTTATTCATGTGACTGCTAGACCTCATCCTGGTCAAATCCAAGTAGCAGAAACGATTGATAGATTATTGAAATCTAGTCAATTAGCGATCATACTGATCACGAAGAAAAAGATGTTAGTGCTGAGATCTCTAAACAAACTTTAAGACAATATTGTTATCCTTTGAGAACCGCACCTCAAGTAAGTGAATCTATTATTACAACTTTCAATGAAGCCTTTTCGATCTCTTGGAATTAATTGTCTTTGGTTTTTTTTAGTGGATCGGTCCTTGATTAGAAGATTTGATAGTTGCTCCTACTACTATCAGTCGTGAATTAAACTTGACTACAGATAATTATGTGACCAATCAAATCATCAGAATCAAATTCCCCATTCAACTTAAACTAATCTATACCTTTTTGTTTTCCAAATCATTAGCTTTGATTGATGTAGAGAATGGAATCATTCATCACAGTGCTTATCTTTTCTGTTCTTTTTCTCTTTTTTTTGTTTGGATCTCCAATTGTTGTTCTTGGTGTGACATCTAAATTACACAAATCAATCAAACTTGAAATCATCCATTTAAAATAGTTTCCATGTTTTTCAACCTGTTTCAACTGATTCCTGTTGAATCATCTGTTATCATTCAATAAGCTATTCTTCCAATCTGCCACTATTGACCATGCCACCGCCTATTGATGCACTGGGCTTTGGGCTATGCCCATTTCTTGATTCCGAGCTGCTTGTGCCCCGCTTGATCTACCCAAACAGCCCAGATTGACTGAACGCGACCAAATTGGTGGCCTGCGGATAGTCAAATTGGCCTGCAGGCCACCAGCGGCTTGCGCACGCCTACACTTTTGGCGAAGCAAAGGCGCCTTTACGATGAGCTGTCAGGCGACTTACAGTTCGACACTTGGTCGTCGCCAAACTGACTACCTGCTGACGGGCAGTCACTCCGCACAGAGCGACCGTCTGGTGGTGGCCGGCGAGGATGACCTTTTGGCGGTCAGGACGCCCCCGTGGTGTAGTCTGTTCTCACGCCTACGTGGCACGACCGCGGCGCAGTCCCGATCGGACCACTATAAGAGCCGGCAGCTCAGCATCAGCTCCGATTCCACATCTATCTCTTGTGGAACTCGGAGCTCCTGAAGCTGAGCCTGTCTCTTATATGGATGAGTTCTCAGCTTAACACGTGGGAATTGTTAACCCGGCGGTCTGGAAGCACGTGGATTGAGTAATCAACCAAGTTAATTCTTTGAATACCACTTCAACGGGGAAATGATGGGCTCTATGAGGGATAATCTGAAATACTTGATTTCATCATTGCTGTGGAATGGGTATATAACCCTGTTGGTTTTCTCAATTTCTGGTGTTTTTCCTCATCCTTTATTACTACCATAATTTTCGAGAGGATTCTTTCTGAACACCATCTCTTTAACTGGCCAATAATTACACTTGTTGACAATCGGCGCTGAACTTGATTTGAATTTGTGAGCCTTTGATCACTGATCGATATATAGATAAAAGATTGCGCAACCCTGGAAAGAATTTTTCACGCTCATCTTTCTAATTTTGTACAGACAAACGTATAATCATCAACGCAATCTCAGCTATCAATCCCCCCAAACCCATTCGCTTTCATCGCCATCAAACCCTCAACGTGTTGTCAAAGATGCACACTCTTAACTTTTTGACCGCTGGAATATTTTTAATCTTTGCTACAACAGTTATTGGCCAGAAGTTACGATTTGTGTCGCCCGCTCAAGACACAGTAGTCAAACCGGGACAAAAACTGACCCTAAAGTTACAGTTTCAATGTAAGTGGACCCCAAACGCGGAATCATCATTGACGCGCCATCAGGCTGACTTCTTCAACTGTTTGGCAATGTGATCACGACAGCTCCTTCTTCATCCGACACACAAATCGCTTGGGAGCTTGGACTCAACGGGTTCGCAAATGATCCCACCTCCCTTGGCCGTCCACTCGTAGCGAGCCTTGGAGCTGGAGCTGCAGGTGCAACATACAAATCGGACGAGCAAACGTATTACTGGGATGTTACTTTACCCACTGCCGATAAATTTTTGGATGGATTTGACAAGACGTAAAGATTCTCCATACAGCTTTTTCACATTGTTTTGAGCTAATGATTGTGGTGTTTTGATCAATTTTTTTATTATAGTTACCAATTAACATTTTCGCAGTACTTCTTAGATAAGGTGTGTCACTTTTCTTTATTTGAAAACTCATCAACTTAAGACTGCAGTTCTTTGTACTCATGATGTCTATTTTGCCTTTTCTAGAGTGCCTTTTCCCCGATGCTAAACACTATCTCTGTTCCTGTAAAGCTTCAAAAGGCTTGAGTGTTTGTTCTTGAAATGACGTGATGCTTGCGTGTTTGTTCATGAGATGAAGTGATCAATGTCCGACTTTTTCACACATTTTTTGAATCTCTTGGTTATCTGCCCAGTGCCTGCTTTGTTGTATTTTTCCTCAGTCAACTGAAAGCGTCATTCAAATACAAAACAGTATGTATGTCGCATGGCACTCAAAGAAATGCATAAGGTCCCTTGAGAATCATTTAGAAAATTGGTTATTGAAAAAGGTGTCTCAAACCCATTTGCTTTAAGTTTGAGTAACCTAGATATTGTATGTTGGCCGGTAGTAGCTACTCGGTGATAATCACACGGAGGTTGAACGCAAGGGTCCTAATCACATGAGTTGAGAATTGCTGCGAGAGAGAAAAATACCAGGAAACGGCCTGAGACGCAAAGAGAGGCGTAAAGAATTATTTTATACTTCCCCGCTAGTACTACGCGGCAAATGCATGGGAGGGAAGTGTAGAAGAAATCATCTATTGTTCAAAGACTAATCAAGTTTCGAAATCAATTTTGCTTGATAAAGGACTCAAAAATTTGGATGAAAAACTTTGAATGAGAAAAGAAGGAAAGAAAGAGACTATGTAAATAAAGGGGCTAAATAAGTCAGACAGATGACAAGAATATTCTGCGCTACATATTTTGTGTGTTGTGATCCTTTTCTTTCAAAAGGACACTTCTGAAAAAGTGAAGTACAAGCAATCAATATCACACCATGTTGAACTTTGAGATCACAACTCCGCGTCCACACCAACAAAGATCATGAGAGGGATGGTATGTATCAGCCTCTTTCAAGAATAGATATCATGGAGATATCACAACCATACTATACTGCACAACAAGTGACATAAAGTAGCCGTACCTCCTCTGCTTAGTCAGAACGGGAACCTATGTTTGTACACTTGTTCTCAGGACATTCTAAATGCCATAATCCACATGGGGTGATGATTGATTAGTGAATACCATATGTTTGATCACTGATGAGTTTTAGATGATACACATACGTTGGTCCAGATGCCGGGTCTTGCAATGAAACGTCTGCACGTCTTTTCCAAAAGTGTGGTAGCAAACTTTTGTTCAAAAGATCAGGAAGTGGGACCAGTCATTTATAATAAATCAGTATGTGCTCTTGTGTAGAACTCTTCATAAAGATGTCTACACCTCGCACTATGTTCCTGCAATCCGAGTCATCTCAAGATATCTAGAATTGACGTGCATAGGCGAGGCATCTCTTCCTGAAGCTATAACATTTATAACATGCAAATTGACTCAACCAATAGGCCTGAGAGCATTGTTTGAGTCGAATTCCATTCCAGCGTCGCAATCAAATGACCCCGTTGTGGTCAATGGGGTCGGGCCAATGCAGTCATAGGCCGCTGTGCGATGTTCCATCAAATCAGAGGGTAAGTGGTCCGTCATTCATTTGCCCATTTATTCAAGACGAGGAAATCATTTCGTACAGGGGAGACTGCCATCCGCTCTGCCGCACCACAAACACGCATAGATATTGATGACTCCAGGAGACTGTGTATCCCAGTCTTTGAGCAAGGTGTTTTTGAAAAGAAGGTATTTCACGCTTTGCATCAGTTGACACCATCCCTGTTTGAGCCTTGGTTGTATTTAAAAAAGCGTCAAACTATGGGGTACAGGGAAACAATGGACTTACGATGCATCCACTGATTATTCGCTGATGGTCTGTCCCACACAAAGTTGCAATCTATAGCATTAGCATCTGCGAAGATATACAAACCGAGATCTCCCACAAGCAGGAATACGAGGGCAAGATAAAGAATGGGGCTCGCTCGATTCCAAGACATGATTCGCGGAATAAAGTGAAGTCTTCAACTCTGTCTTTCACCAAATTGACAGCAGAGAAGGATAAACTATCTATAGAGTGCACACCTATCCAGGAGAAGAAAACAGATGTTGCAATCAGGCCTCGTTAGCACGGTTAGCCTTATATGTAAAAATGCATTTCAAAGCCAAACATTGCTGTTTGCACACGAGCCTCACAAATCATCTTGGCCACGGGTTGTGGCTGTTTGTGTTTGATTGGGAAGCCGGTTTCTCTAAAAGGCTGATCAATGCAAGAGGCCCTCATGAGGCACCGGTGTCATGAGGTCAAATCAACGGCAAGTCTTCAGCTGCTAAAGCCCCGTAGGAAGCGAACTTCGACTTAACCCTTGGGAGCTCCGGCCCAAAAGGCACACAGAGCGCCATCGTAGATGATTGTACGGAAATATGGTCATCCATCTTGGCAGATTTCGAATTGTGGAAAGCTTGATGTGAAAATGTAGGCGAGTTCAAAATTGGTCTCGTGTGAGCAGAGATGGCAATTTTTTTCCAGATGAGATTCCCAAATTAAAGTCTGCTCTCTCTCTCATACCTCTCATACCTCTAGCTATTGACTCCCTGTCGTCTGATTATCTGATCCATAGAGCTATGCTACAGTTTGCCTGACAGACTTCTTTTCAGTTACAGCCGTTGTAATATCTATTGGTAGTTTTTCCAACAGATGTGTCGTCGCCAGATTTTACTCTGAAAGTCAAAAACCCTTTTTTTTCGACCTTCAGAGTGAAGTGTATCGTCCTTCTTTTAAGAATGGACGAACTCTTTTGCCTTTCCTCTCCTCACCCTTTCCATCTCTCTCTTTCCGGCTACTCTTCTTTCAAATCGATTACCGGCAGTCCCACTTCTTATCGTGTGATGGCATCTTATAAGACAACATTTTCTCTATTTTGTCATTTCAAACCTTCACCTTCCTACCCCAGCAATTCTATCGTCCCATTTCCCACATTATTGAATAAATTGATCTGCTCATTTTCCAATTCATCCACCGTTTGCTCATTTTTTCCTGTGTTTAACCCAAGAAGATTCCTCAGATTCCATTTGACGTCTTCGTATTTGTGTTTGTGATGCATTTCCTCCTTCCATTAATCTTTTGTTTCCTTTGATGTTGATATTCCTTTTTGGTAGGTTTCCCAATGTCGAAACTCCTCTTCAATGCCGCTGCCCGCGACCCCCTTGTCTGGCCACATGAACAATTGTGAGTACAGATCCTTTTTTTCACCGCTAATTCAAAGGTTTTACCAACTAGTGAAATTTGCAATTTCAGTGTTCATGTTAAGATACTATCTTGATTATGTAGTCAAAGATACATTTTCCCTATTTTGGTAATTGAGGAGGTTTAGAAGAATGCAGTGACTGATGTGCAGTGGGTACGAGTAGTGTGTTTGTTAGTGGGTATTACTGAGATGAATAAAGGGGTAAATTATGGAAGTTGGAATCAAAGGGGTGATGGAATTATTTGGGGGTTAACTGGTCTCTTTTGTAATTTCTCTTTGTCTCTTTTTCTGATTCTTTTCGTGTCGAAAAGAATCAGTGAGTCTTTCCTCAATTTCATTATACATCACTTTTAAGACTATGTGTCCTTACTAATCTCATTGCTGCCATTGTAGAAACTGTTTATTTTATCTTCTATTAACCTTTACGCGCGCTCTCTCATTTCCTGACGAGCACGCAGGTAGAGACTCTTTTATAACTTATCAAAATCTCTTTTCTGATAGTTCTCTTTATCTCACACTATATCCTTTTTATGTTGTTAGGTTTGTCTGTTCTTGTTCTCGAAGTCTGACTAGCGAAAACGCTGTAGTCTGATTTGGAACCTGTGCCCTCAGGTTAGTGTCGTGTCGAAAAGAATCAAAACTGTTTATTTTATCTTCTATTAACCTTTACGCGCGCTCTCTCATTTCCTGACGAGCACGCAGGTTTGTCTGTTCTTGTTCTCGAAGTCTGACTAGCGAAAACGCTGTAGTCTGATTTGGAACCTGTGCCCTCAGGTTTGTCTGTTCTTGTTCTCGAAGTCTGACTAGCGAAAACGCTGTAGTCTGATTTGGAACCTGTGCCATCAGTGTTCTTTCTTTACTGTAGCGTTTTCAAGCAGAGACGTCAGCTCAAGATTCTTTTGGAATCTCGAGACCTTCAACTTCGAGAAACTTTATAGTTCAATGTGCCTGATGATGGTGTGGGAGACAATCAGCGATCCACGTCTATCAGGCAAAACCCTTTATGCCGAGTCGGAACGGTAGGTCGAGAGACCTTCGAAAAGAACAATCAGATGGCGATCGAGGTGCAATTCAAGATCTACACTGACATGGAAGTCGAAATCAACACCCCGAGTCAGGGCACCCCTAAAGTCGGTGCTAGTAAGAAACCGGCGAAGACTGATAGACTCAATCTTATTGATTCTAAGGCTATCAACACCGGCTTTCTAGAGATCAAGACTTGTCCGATCGGAATGAGTCTGAATGAGTTCAAGAACCTGGTGGCCGGAGCCTGCAAAGAGTATGAGGGAGGTTTGAAAAAGTTGATTCTCAATAGTGTTTTTTCGCCCAACCTAAAGTGGAAGACCACGGTAGGACGCTCCAAGGCTGTTCTTGATGGTGCTGTTCAATGGCAAAGTTTTGTCGAAGCCCTCAAAAACTCAAGCAAAAAAATGGGTGTGGTTTCAATCAAAAACAATAATATGCAAGTCAGAGTTAAGTTAAGCAACAAGGTGAGTTGTCTACTTATTCTCTTTCAAATGGTCTGGTCTAATATGATGAGATTGACAGGAATCGGCAATGAAAAAACTTATTGCTGCGACTAATGGCAATGGCAATGAGGCTGAGGATCAGGAATCCGAGGTCTGTTTTGGTTTCCTTATGTATATAACCAAACCCATTGATCTGATTATTAATGCTTCACAGGATGACAAGAACAAGCAAGAGTCAAATACTCTGGCCAACCAGATTTTTAGCCAACATGCAATTGGAACGTACGCTGGAGGGCCTGGAACGGTTTTGACCACACCTTGGGATCCCAACTTTTGATATCGACTCACTTACCCCGCGGCCTGGATTTGGGCTAAAGGTGCAGTAAGTGCATGTTTTGCACTTACCTTTGGGTACTAACTCCGTAGGCTACGTGATAGTACCCAACTGACTACTCTCTTCTGTTCACGTAGATGGCCAACATTGCAACTGTGATTATCCCACCAAATACTCCGGAGTTTTGGTATGAACTCGAGAAGAACCAGTGGATCCACCCCGAAATGGGTGTGGATGACCAGGTTGGACTTCAATTGAAAGGCAGCTCTCGAAGATCTCATGGTGCCAATCATATTTTGCGTTCAATTGGACACGGTCAGGCTGGTGGTTTGGGTTTGAAGAAGAAGCATCTGGCCCAAATGCCCGATATCAAGCCCGATGTCATGAAGATTGGCAATAAACGTGATGGGTTGGCCTCATCCGACATGGTGGATATCAAACCGGACTTGAAGAAGATCAAGGTCGAGCAAAGTAAGCTAAGTCTGATCAAATACCTAGATGACGGGATTGCTGACCATGTTTCTTCGCACTTGGTCTAGATCTCAAAAGTTTGATCAATGAACCTATCTATGTATCCAGCAAGTATGAAAACAACTGGGATACCAAAGGTGAGAGTAGCAGTATTGAGTTTGAGGTCCAGAGCCCTCCACCTCTCACACGGTCCAATTCGAGCTCTTCCTTGCCGATGTAGAACTTATAACCCAACAAGGGTTATACAGAGCTGGAAGAGGATAATCTACTAATATAAGGACTAGTAGAAGTTGTCTGAGACTGCTCTTCTAAAACAACACAATCAGGAAAGGCTCTGTTGTATTGAGTACAGATAAGGCACCAGAGAAATATATCTTCACACGTATTTTAACTTCAAAAGCACAATTTGTATTACTATCAACACTGCTATAGTGTTATTCCCAAATAATAACTAAAGAAATAAGCAATACCTTATTGATATTATTCCCAATGAGTCTTTATGACTATAAAACTAAAGTAAATTTCTCTTTATAATTGTAATAAAGGGTGTATTTAAGTGACCAGGTACTATTAGAATACGTTTATAATGATAAACAAAATAATAATGGCATAAATGATAAAGAAAAAAGGGGAACAACAATCCCAGAATCCTCTCAAAGTATATATAACAATGTACTCCAACTTTTACAATGGTCAACAGCCTCAAAACCAATCAAATCCACCCAGAAATCCCTAAAAACCCTATGATGACACAATGTAATGATTTTGTTACTAATAAATGATGTAATTTTCACAGCTAAAAGTGATCAATGACACAATAATATGATGTACAGCACTTCTTATGATGAATACAGGTGATTTTTTCCTTGTAAACTAGCTAAAAACCCATTTTTGAGATTACGAATTTTTTCAGATGTGCTCCAATTTTTGATTACTAAAGTGCATCTTGTAGCCCTCGTGTTACTGATCATTTATGACACCCATATGACCTACTTCTGATGAGTGATGAGTAAGATATTGAGTTGTGAAGTTAAGGTTTTGAGCATTACATGTTGACTTGTGACTGTAAATTTGAGATTCACACCAATTCTTTATTTGCCTTATAACTTTTTTCATAAACCTCCGCTACTATTTATTTAAAGTTTGTACATTATGTAATCCACTCTTCTGCGTTGAATGAGCCATCTACCAACCTAATCTGACGTCATTTGACATATGTAATAAGCTGGAAACCTTCATTTTTGACAAAATTCACCCATTTTCTCCACTTTTCACAGCTGTTACTCTCTTTCTCTTGCTCAAGTAATATGACATCATCTTCTATAACCTTAAAAATCCCGGAAAATCCTCTTGGAAACCTTAAATTCCACTACTACCACTATTACATAACCAAACTACACATGTACCTCTTGTTTACCAACTTCGAAAAAGTGCCTTTTCCCTCATAACTTTTGTTTCTACTTATCAACCTTCAAGATTAAAATTGTCAAAGTATAATATAATGTTGTTCTTTAATATTCTAACCTCATAATACCCATAACTTTATTTTTACTACCCTAAAAACCATTTTCCAACCTTTGTACCTATATTTTCGAATTTTTCTTATGTTTTTCTTTCTTTCTTTTTGTAATGAGTTTGTGAATAAGCTATGATGATCTTAATAAGTAATGTGAAATAAAATGATGTAATGTTAACCTTATGACCAATACATAAGCCTACAAGAGCTTCAATTGATTAAAAAACCTCCATTTCGAATTTTCTTTCCTGCTGAATCCTTCTAATAAACTGGTAAACTGCTAATTGTGAATTTTTTAATTGATCCCATAAATTGATCACCACACCGACTGCGAGATTGCCTTTGACAATGTCAAAACCCAAACGCTTCTCAGAGAAGCTGGCTTCATTTCGTGGACGGACTTGATTCCAAGTGTACAACTCACTGAATCGACTTTAACGTCCAAAGGGATTGACAGGCAAATTGCCAACCGCCTGATGAGTGAAGCTCAAGCCCGTTACATGAAATGTAAGATATCATTCTTATCTTACATTTCATCTCGGTTAATTGACTTTGCCTGTGTTTCCTGCCTGCCTTTCTCAGGATTGATGTGTTCCACCAATCACATGTTATCGACTGGTTTGGTGAAACCAGGCTCCGATCATCGAGATCATCGATATCCTTAAAAAAAAACTTTTTATTTTCCTATATTCTTGATCAGCCACTTATATCCTTATTGTTACTTAAGCTTTCCCTGTTCTCCCCCCAATTGTGGGTTATCAATGTCGTTCTTTTTTTGCAAGCTGGTCACTGTGTTTTGGATAAACCAGGATAGACCAGGATGATTGTTATTTGTTTGTTTGTTTTTGTTCTTGAAATGGTGTTCTTGCAGTGTTTTACAAGCTAGTGATGTCGCTCTTATGGTGTGAAGAACTTGTGAGAGGAGAAATACATTATTATCCTTTGTGTGAAATCAAAGACATCAACATGTTTGACATGAGACGAGTCCAGAACTCCCAAATGTTTGACATACGGACCTTGTATTCGATTTCAAGAAATCAAATACACTCAAGTCAATCTTCCACAATAGATATTGATGACTTGGTATCGATAACACTGGAGGAAGAAGTCATTATCTGTTTGAAGCCGCATCATCCTTTGAAAGGGTTAAGCGCGGATGGGTGAGATGTGACTCAAAGCACTTAACATCACTCGGCAAGGTCTAGAAAGGTGACTTTCTACGGTTCTGATCAATCCATTGCAGGCGTTAGATTGCATTACATTGGGACCATTCAAATCAATTGCTATAAACATGGGTTTAATATTGTGTTATAAACTATTATTTTATAAGTATAGTTATACACTTTGTTTCAAGATACTAGACAAATAGAAAAGAAATGAACAAAATAACTTCAAAGATATCGGCAACTCTGGAATAATTTGAGGCAAAGCGAGTCTGTAAATAATTCCATACAGGCCATAAAGATGGAGGCTTCTTCGCCTGCCACGTTAATCACACGGTGAAGGGCTCGGCTCCTTTTCAAATGAGACTTGAGCGGTGAGAAACCCATTTCAATAGGCTTGAAATCTGGCAAATACAAGGGAAGGTAGAGTAAGCAGATGCCACGTGCTTCACATAGGGCAGCAATGTTACCTCCGTGATGGATTGGAGCATTATCCATCACGAGGACACTGTTCCTTAGTGGCCATGGATTCATCGCTGGCAACCAAACCATCCAAGCATCAGGGACTAATTCCTCGGGTCAAGAGCTAAATGAGTCACTTACTAAAGATTGTCCCAAGAAACCCTCAAAGTCAATTCTCGAATAGCCACTGGGCTGGATTGACAAGGCCACCAGGCCTCCTAAAGAGATGGCGGGTAAAACCAACCATCTCTGAGACCGAGTAGGTCTTTCAAGCCGGGCAGTACGTTCGCCACGAGGCACTCGTGCATATTCTCAATAAAGATGCCTTTTGTTCACTGCCGTTTTGTCTGTATGAAACACGATGAAACAGTTAGAGACCATTGGAGATATGAGAACCAGGTAAATCAAAGCCTACCTGTGAAAACAAGGCATTGCGGATCGATGCCAAAGATCTCACCAATATATTCACCGCGCGCCACCGCCGATTGATTAGGATGCACGGTTCTGGCCTTTTTCCGAGTCCATCCAAGTCGAGACCGGACCTTGTTTGAAAGTGTCTTGAGAGACACATGAATTCCAAATTGGTTGGAGATCTTATCTTGAAGCTCGTCTAGATATAAAGTCGGATTGTGTTCAAGAGATTTGAGAATGAAATTGTGTTGAGCTGGACCTAAAATTGGGCAAGCTCCTTGCCTCATGTGATCATCTGGATTTGTGATCACAGCGCGAGTGGTCCGGTACAGGTCAAACCAGCGCCGGACCGACATTAAACATCCACACTGAGGGTGGCAACGATCTCGTAGAAACGCATGCCACGCATCACCATCCAAACGACCACCATCTTGATATCGGTCGTATAAGTATTGATGGGCATCTGTATACAACATCAATATCAGTATGAGGTACCAAGGGATGAGCAAACCAAGAACAAGAGAACTCACGATGGAACACTTATCCAAACTGTTCAGGGGAGCTGGTGAAACGTTCTGGGATGAGGAACCGGTGAAAGTGGTTGTTGGGCTCACGATATCAGTCTGGCGAGGTACCAGAGAAACAAAAGTGGAGATTCCACGTGATCGAAACGCTGCTCACGATTGAAACGATGTCCAGAGCCGGATGAGGATCTGTTGAAGGGGGTGGATGGACAAGATGTGATGATGAGGAAGTCGAGTGGTGGGTTTCGGAATGTGGGATGGGAAGCGGTAAATAGCAAATGATTAAAAAAAAATTAAAAAAATTAAAAAATTAAAAAATAGATCATAACCGAGAATAACCGGCTTTCGGTATGGTACAGTAGGGTGTAATGGAATTATAAGGAGAGAGGAGATGGGAAACTTACATGGCCAATCCTGTCCAATCTCAAACGATTAGAGGATAGAGTTGTCAATCTGGGGGGTGGTTTTCCGAGTCTTGGACCTTGACGTTAAATCCGGCGACGACACATCTGTTGGAAAAACTACCAATAGATATTACAACGGCTGTATATGTATCTACAACATGTGACTTATATATATAGAGAGTACATCACCTTCCCAGATCTTGACCCAGAAGTTTTATAACACTTACAATTCAAAGAATATTCCCAGCCTGAAGCATAAAAAAATTCAACATTCAAAAACCTTTGGCTCTCAACTTAAACCACTCAGACTACCCTGACTTAAGGGAATGTGATGAGCTACTAGTAGTAGTATCACAAGCCTCTTCCAGATGGAACTAAGTGCTGTGTATTCAAAGAGAAGTCTAACAGGATTTATTTGGTTCCTGAAATTCATGCTATCATATGTTTTTCTATACATCCATGAAGCTATTACATACATCTAGAAATTCTCTCCTAATGAAGTTAGTTTTGGAAAGACTCACTGAAATTTTGGAAATTATCTTATTCTGTTTTTGTAAAGGGTCTCTTTCAACTTCTTTGTGCTTGTTTTTCATTCAGGATAGCAAGATAAATCAAAAGCTCATCAAGGACCAATCCTCAACAGCAAAATACACTGTTCTCCAGTCTTGATTTGTATCAAAATGAAGCCAATCTTTGGGAAAATGGGTTTGTGTGGTTATTCAATCAATGCTGTTAAACACTTCAAGGTGAAGTTAAAGATAAGTCTCTGCATAAACAGTTCCTTGAGGTTACATTTGAAAGTTATTGCAAGGATAAACCATCACGTGGGAGGCTCAAACTTAACTTGGGAGGCTACGCCGCTACACCCCGTTTCAAACATACATGCGTATGCTTGAATGTCTCGTTACATGTAACTTAGCATGAAGGCTAGCCGCGTCATGGAATTTGGATCGCCGGCGTCATCAGAGGTTGTAAATGACTGCAAGCAGCTTCACTAACATCATCAACCCAATTCAATTCGAGCTAGATCACTATCATCAGACCATCGACAATGGATCACTTTCCTGGAACATCATGGGGTAAACCTCGAAACGATGCTTTTGATCCTTATGCCACTTTCCCTATCAGCTCGATTAATGGGCCGAAAGTTGACACTTTTAGTGAGGGTGTCCAGAGAACACAGTGAGTCTCGATCAGAGGGTGATGCGGTGCAAGCAATCTCAGCTTATGTGTTAACTTTGAACAGACAGCCTATCGTTACAGGTACATCGGTTTTGGGTGTCAAATATAAGGGCGGCGTGATGTTGGCCGCTGATATGTTGGGTATGTGATCTGTCACTGTATCAGCTTAGTTTTTCTTTCAAATGGGAGACTATGCTTTTAAGCTGAGCTTGTTTTCGCGTGTTCTGCATGATCAAAATAGCTTCATACGGTTCGCTGGCTCGATTCAAGGACATCCAACGTCTGATCCCTGTGGGCGAACACACTGTGGTGGGAGCTGGAGGAGACCTTTCTGATTTTCAATATGTGAAGAAAATGCTGGAAGCTCGTATGTAAGTGTTGGAATTTAGCTCTGTCGGTCAGTCATTGGGAATTTTACTGATTGCATACTTCATGTAAAGGGTGGAAGAGACTCTAGCCGATGACGGCCATGTTCTGACCACATCTCAGATATTTGAATATCTCGCCAGGGTGATGTACAATCGACGATCTAAAGTCAATCCGCTATGGAACTCGTTCGTAGTGGGTGGTGTCGAAGGCCGAACCGGAGAACCATTTCTTTCCTATGTCGATCTCTTGGGTACAACTTATTCTTCACCTAGTATCGCCACTGGTTATGGAAGCTATATTGCTCAACCAATGTTGCGAAAGGTTATAGATGACCTACCCAATGGGTGTAATGACTTGGAGGCCGATGTTGCTCGAAAGACTTTAGAAGAATGTATGAAGGTCCTCTTTTACCGAGATGCGAGAAGTTTGAACAAGGCAAGTACCCTGATGATCTCAATGTGTGCGATATCACTCTGTTGACTCGTTCAATATCACATTTCCTCGTTTAGTTTCAAATTGCTAATGTCACTAAGGCGGGCGTGGAGATTTCTGGACCCATCCAAGCTCCAACAGAATGGGCTTTTGCTGAAGGCTTGAGAGGGTTAGTCATTCATACGAACATTCAAGCATTCGCTCCACTGACACTTGATCCTTTTAGCTATGGACCACAGACGCAGTAATCATTATAAACAAACCATGATCATATCTGATTTAATGAGGCAACCTTTGCAACTCACAAAGTTGCTGTTTTGAGGACGATGAGTTGTGTCTTGAAGGTCGAATTGTAACACCAAACAGATTTCCGAGACGGCCTTGCAATTTCATACATTGTGAGATGGTCTCTGCCCCCATTGAACCCTTTCCTGTAGTGTGAAGCCAAGTGACCAGCATTCGACCCCTGAGTGTGCGGCTTCTGAGCGCAATAGCATATTTTTGGTATCATTGAGTCAAGGCAAGCATGACCCATACGAACCCGTGACCTATTGGATCATCTGCTTGAATGCAGTTGGTGACAATATACATCCTATGTACCTGCCAATTGAAGCCAAGCATTGCCGATGAAGATGCGATTTTGATTACCCTATTACATAGTTGAAGTTGACCTGGGCCTCTTGCTTGAGTGAAACCACAATGAGTTTGCTTACTATGAGTTACCAGTGCTTGAATTCCAATTTCACCTACCTTGGAATAGAGTGTTCCACTTTACGTCCATGTTACCATGATGTGCTCAAGAACTCGACGTATGTTCATACAGATGTTTCATCTTCGGATGGGTTGTAGTAACGTCACATTTACGCCCAGTGATTACAACCACAAGCCGACCTCTTGCAATTCATGTGTAAGCTCGTCAATACTCAACTCAACTTTTCAAAATTTGTATCAATCACACATTTCTTATACAAAGTCTTTCTACCCAAAATGGCACGCACAAAAAATGTTAGAGGTGGACGAAAAGATGCTATCAAAGCAACGGCTCACAAGAATTTACCTGTCACTCAACCTACCGATTGCGGGACGACAGGCGCTTTTGACGAAATACTGGATCAAGCTGAACAACTTCTCGTGGCTTGTGAATTAGAAGAAGCACAACGATTATGTCAAGAAGTATTAAAGTCAGCTGAATTCAATACTCGAGCTCTTGAAGTTTTGGCTTTGATCGAACTCGAGTCTGGTGACACAAAAGCGGCTAGAAAGGTTCGCAAATTGATCTCCTACGAACATTGATGTTTAATTTTATCTCTTCAAGAGAAATGGAACGCTGATAGTCTAACATCGTTATCTGAAATCAAAATATTCACTACCCAGCTCTTTAATCGATGTATCGCACATTCTAAACCTACAGCTCCTCCTACCGTTCATCTCTATCTTGCTCAGTTGGCCGATAGTCCAGAATCGTCACTCAAACACTTCGAAACTGCGCTTTCAATTCTACAAGAGAAATTGGAAGTAATCCAGAAAAATAAACAAAATGGCGATGTACCAACATGTCCCGATGAGTCGACAGAAGTAGTAGAATGGAGTGTAGAAGAGAAAGAAGTGCGAAGGAGTGGTAGTCGTGCATTGGTTGGAATGACCGAGCTTTATTTAACTGATTTATGGTATGTTGTTCTCATCATCTTATCCAACATTTTCCATCTTCTAACTTGATAGTTCTTTTTAGTTTCGATCCTACGGCAGAGCAAAAGTGCCTCGATTACCTTTCCATAGCTTCGTCATTGGATCCAACTGATCCCGAACCACTTCAAACTCTTGCATCTGTAAGATTATCGCAAACAAATGTGGACGCAGCGAAGGAGGCGCTTCTTCTAGCGTGGGATTTATGGCGAGACAAATCTCACATTGAAGATTCTAATTCAACAGCACCTGATCAGATGGAAGAAGATGGAGCAGAAGAAACTGAATCTGAGGAAGATCATGACGATACGATTCCACCGTTCGATAGTCGAGTACAATGGTCGAAATTGGCAATTGAATGTGATATGTGGTCAGAAGCCATCGAAGTTCTGCAACAGTGTGAAGCGGAAAATGATGAGGATGGTGAAGTTCAATACCTATTGGCGATTTCATGGCATATGATGGGAGAGGATCGGGAGAAACAACCTCCATCTGAGGCTTCAGGAGATACTACATCTATCGGATACGGACTTGATAAATCAGAGTGTTGGATGGAAGCCAAAGAATATATCGATTCCTGTGTTCAAGTAAGCCTAAATCATTCCTAAATCGATCTTGACAGACATCAATCAGCTAAACTGACAACTTTTAATCTCTTCCAGTTACGGGAGCGCTTCGGTGAAGACTCTGCTCTCGATGAAAGTATCATGAAACACATTCAAGAACTTGATACCCAACTTCAAGCAGCAGGTATCACAAGTAAGTCACTTGGCGATGAGGTTGAGAACGGTGAGCCTGTAGCAGAAGACGATGGGGATCAAGATTGGGATGATGTTAGTGATGTGGATATGAAACCAGTTGACTGAACGTGTCTTTTCATCAATGCGCGTTTGCTGGGTTGTCGCGCGGAACTCAAGTCGTCGACTATGGTTTTTGTTTTGTCCTTTTTGTGCCTCTTTTCTCTGTCTTGGAATGTGGACAGTATTGTAATCACTCTGTGTGCAAAGTGAGTTTTTGCCAGTAGAAGTCCAGAGTAGAACTTGAGAATTCGAGTCATGATATTGATAATAAAACTATGAATGAGTGAGATCTCTGAACAAATGACTACACAATGATTCTGATCAAAGATGACATTTCACTGAGGGTCATTTTAATGAAGTTGACACATCTCCTGTAGTTTTTATGAATCATTCTTTGCAAATATTCAACAAACTCATCTCACTCTAGATCTGGTCCACTGTAGGTTTTACCTTTGATCAACATTTTCTCAACTGGTGTCTTGTTGTCTTTTACTCGTGCTTTACAGCCAGATCAAGTTAGCTGAGCTTCTGATCTTTTATACAGGAGGATATCTGGTTTGGGAACGGACTTGTGAGCGTGTATCCCTTTACTTATCTCTAGTGAATACCTGTCAAGTAAGCTCTGCTCCTGCACACCCACGACATGTTTTGGCTCTTGTCAGTATGTTGGATACCTGGAGGCTTACTGTCTTTAGGGCCATAATCCTAGAAATAAGAGAAGAATATCAGCATGGGATGCCCTTGTATCATTCATGGCTGAAGAATCCTCTCTAGTGAGAGGACTTATAAGTGGAGTTTGTGATCATGCAGTGCAGCTCTGCAAATAGCCATATTGGATATCTTCTATCAAAACCTCTTCTCTGTCAATCCTGTTGAAATTTTAGTGCATTTATACTTCAACTATATATCTATATAGTGTATCACTCATTTCTTGTCAAAATTATTCAATTTTCTTGTGCTACAGTTGGTGCTCTATAACCAGACAGCTGTGAGTAGCTCAAAGAATGGACATTATCACTTGTTGGAGTGGAGGTTCAATAGCTTTCTCATTGAGAAGATGATCATACAGAGATGCTGAATGCAAAAAGCACATTCAGAATTTCAGATTCATAGCACAAGTGGGTGGCGGAATCTGGCTTAAATGAAGTGGAGTGACGGAGCCGGGGAGCCGGGGACTCGAGTCTCAGGGATGGTCCGAGTCCGACGGATTGAGATTTGGGGCGATGATGTCATCAATTAAGCTTTCGACTCTTGATTGGTGACCAAATTCAAATATGCCTTCATGACCTTCGCCATGACCTCGTCCTCATCCTCAGCTTTACTTCGTCTAATTTCTCGAAGATCTGCCATAACTATCTCCAATGTCTCTTGCTCATTTAAATCAACGAAATCAACTCCATCACCCCAGTTAAATTCATTGGATGACGATTCATACTATCCAGTTGGTCCTGCAGAGCCTTCATCACCCGACGATGCTTACATCTCAAGATACCGTGATCCATCTCACCATGATGACTACATACTATTAGATCACCACCATCCTTACACGTTTCGTGCTAGACCCACTGCTACTCAGGCTCTGCCTCCTCGAAAGCGTCCACCTACCTTCGATGCGGCTCAGTCTAGCTTCGAGGCTCGCGTAGCACGACTCGAGATGGAAGGGTCTTGGGCTGGCTCTCTCACATACTCCGGGAAAACTGAGTCTACCAAATTGTTGCCCGAACGAAGAGTTGAAATCTCGAAACGAGGAATAGGATTGTGTTTTCCAGGTTCTGGCTCACAATATATAGGCATGGGCTCATTCCTTCTGCCTCACTCCAAAGGCTTTCGCGACACTTGGGATGAAGCAGAAGAAGCTTTGATCGGTTTTGAGCGTTGGAGGCAGTCCCTTGATCTCGTGGATCGCCTGCATGCTCTCGGTTATACATCGGATCAAGCGAACTTGCTGGGAGGTCCAATGCGTCGCGGAGCTACTCTGGGTTCTAATGACCCCGGCCTCAAACACGTTGTCTTCAATGGCCCTGGGCATGAACTGACTCGAAGCAGCAACGCCCAGCCGGCAATCTTCATCACTAGCTTTGCGTATCTGCGAGCTCTCGAAGTTTAGTGTTCGACATTGTGACAGCTTATCACATCCATATCGTATACTCATCATTCATCCTATTTCCTGTGTTCTTCACGGCAGGTAGACTATGGAGCGTCGATAAGCAACCTAATTCGAGCATTCTCTGGGCACTCGTCGGGCGAATATACAGCCTGCGCCGCCGCTGGAGTCATGAGTTTTGCCAATGCGGTCCACCTTACTCGTCTACATGGTCTTCTTACAACTCGTACCCTTGAGCTTAAAGGCCTAGCGCCCTATACAGCCATACACCTCTCTGACAACCAGAGAGCCCAAATGTCTGCTCTTATCATAAATGCACCTCTTTACGGCCTTTCTGATATCACCCGTGTCCTCTCCGCTAGCGATACTAACGCCAGTGGACTTGGCCCAGTAGAAATTGCAAGCATAAACTCTAGTACACAGATAGTACTCAGTGGTAGTCGCGCTGGAGTACTGGCTGCCTGTGAGCGACTCTCAGAACTCAATATTGCACATAGGGCTGCGGATCTTCCTTGCGCGTTAGTTCTTAATGTGTTTCTTCCTCCTTGAGATTTTCACACTATTCCCTCTCTACATATTCCTCCTTCTTTCCCTCTCATTGGCTCCGACATTTATGCTGGATGAGATCACTGAAATCAAAAACGGAGGGCATCCTCCCGCTCTTCTACTTGAAACTGTTCATCGCAGCGCACCCTTCCATTGCTCATTCATGACTCCAGCCTCACAGGGCATGGCAATCGCACTGGAAGCCGTTACCCTCAACCCACCTCTTCGTCCCATCATCCTGTCTCCTCCTACTGGCCAAGCAAGTTACACGCTTACAGGAGACGCCCTGCGGAATCATCTTGCTTCTGCCATTCGATCGCCAGTTATGTGGTCAAATACGGTAACAGGTATGCCAAAGAGCAATCTAGGAGTGGATACTTTAGTATTTGTAGGACCAGGAAAGGCATTAGCAAATCTATGTCGGAAGGAAATTCCTGACGGCATCAAAAGTGTATCGAGTCTTGCGACTGCTCATGACTTTGAAACTCTTGCTCAAGAACTTGCAACATAGGAAGCGACTTGTCTGACTTTGATTTGGTCTACCAATATTGGCAAGAGTGATGTTGTCAGACTTGACTGATGCCATTTGTTAAGTTTATTTTAGTTCAGATGTAGTTTTCATAGTGTTTGATGTTATCCTGTTTGTCCACCTGTATATCGTATTCTTGATATGTTGTATCTTGACAATGTTAATATGAGGTCACGACACGAGTGATATAAGTGAAGCGGTAAAGTATAAGTAAAGATATGTTAAAGCCCGCAGGGTCTAGTGATTTGGCCTATAGATCAAAGGTTTCACATGGGCAGGATGTATGGTCATTGAATTTGAGGCATTGAAAGGAACACCATGTACAAATGAGTAAACCATACAGATACTGATTTGGGGCGACAAATACTTTATAATTGCAGGCAAAATATAGGAAGCCAGAAGCGCATCCTTACAATACAAAGAAAAGTACAGAGAAAAGTACAGAAGGTGTAAACCACAGTTCACTCAGGACCATTTGACATTTTTGGCAAAAATCAAACAAAAACATCCAGGGGAGAACTGAGCAGATTGTTTTGTAATGTAACTTGAAAGTTTTGCTAGAGTTTGACCGCCTGGAAAGAATATGTTAATTAAGAGAAAAATCTAGAGAAAGCGAAGAAGAGAGCTACAGAGTCAAAAAAAATCACTCAGTTTCTCATAGAAGACATTTTTTGATGTACTGTTTGGGAGGCCAATGAAGAACTATTGAACGAAATGCAATCCAGGTCCATTTTCAGTGTCAGATGATAAGATTACTTTCAATTGTTCGCCTTCGGAAAACTCTGATAATCTTTTCGATTGTTTCCTATTATTTGATTTTAACAATGTCTGAGTTCGATGAATAGTAGGTGTAGAAATAGAAGGAAGTAAAGAGGATGAAGAAGCCAATTCTTGTGATCGTCTAGTATTCATCAACTCATGAATCAATGAAGTAGGGTTACTTAGTCTATCTTGTGCAAAACTTAAAGTCACGCCATTCAATTGGAGATCTTCTTGGGAAAGATCTTCATGTCGAGTTGGAATTCTTGGATCTCGTCTAAGCATTCCTGGAAGGAACAAAGCAGAGATACCAAGTGAAAGGATAAATATCGAGAATAAAATATGGAGTCCAAGGAAAAGATAAGCCGTTGAAAGAGGAATAGAGGTTGCTAAATGCGGTCGAGTCATGTTGACTATGATCGGTTGTAATTCGATAGCTCCTAAACTCCATCCTATCATCCGATTTGATAAAGCTTGAGCCCATTCATACGCAAAAAGCTGACTATATAGTTATCATACCATCAACATGAACTCTGAAAACTCTGAGGGAAGGTTAAATGGAATGTACATTACCTATCATTTCCATATTGGTTTCCTGCTGCAGTCAAATCAACTTGTAACTGATCATCTAAGAAGCGTGGAGCATATTGATAAAAGTCTGTGTCATCAGTCCCTAGATAAGCAACTGAACCCGATATGGCCAAGGTAGCTGATGCATTTGCTAACGTGAGACTATTGTCAATCAATGCAAGTTTTCCTCTAGTGAGATTATATTGAGCATCGTATACGGTGGTATTGCAGATCAAGATTGAGCACATGATGTAAGGTTTGTTTTGAATACCTTGACCATATGACCACCAATTGATGAGTGGTGTATGAAAGCTTTGATTCCTATCATCCCATATGATGTTTGCATAGTTTTGAAAGCATCCAAACGTAGCAATCGTGAATGGATTGATATTGGCACCATTACTGAGCGGGAATTGATTTGCACCCGATACGTTCCCATGTACGGTGATGAAGCTTTGAAGTCGTTGTTTCCAAGTCGTTGTATTGAAACCCCTTCCATAAAGAAGCTCGTTCCAAGGGCCGATCCCATGTGGAGGAGGGGTGCCCGGAGTACACATTTGAATTGTCATATCATGAACTACGCACGATGGATGGAATGCTTCACAGACCGTACCAGCAGCATATGTATGCGATGAGTTGAAGGTGATTGTAGAATCAGGCAGTGCCGGGCCCATGAAAGACATTCTTCCCTTGGACGAAGGCGTAGCTTGATAGACCTGGAATTCGGAGCTGGTATTGGCTCCACCTTGACTAGCTCGGAGAGTACGATTCAGGACACCGCAAGTGTTAAAGATCGGGTCCTCGCATCCTTTTTCGATCGTTGCATTTGCCTTGAAGTTATCCTTGAGTTCGGTAATGTTTTGAACCACAGTAACGATTTGATCATGTAAGATCACATCAATGACTTTTATAGACCAAGTGAAGGTGAGGACAATCAAGAGTCCTACTAAGCCTAACAGTAAGATTGGAGAGAGGCTAGCACGGCTTGGACGACGATTGATAAAAGACAGACGCTGACGATCGGAAGGTGAAGGTTTTAAGGCGTAAATCAAGAATCGTAATACAGAGAAAGGAGTTGAATTATTAATGAAGTCCATTGTGAGGAAATACTGAAATGGACTAGGAAGTTCTTGGAATCCATGAGGGGTACGAGAAACTTTTAGCCAGTGGTTTGCTAGATGATATGCAAAGAGCATCATTACCCATGGAGCTATGATTCCACTTCAAATCATGAAGTGAAATGATTGTGGATTGAGAGGAAAAAACAACGTATCAGCTTTTTCTAAAAAATCCGAAGTGTGATGCAAATGCGCTAGACTGACACCAGTGTACTCGACACAGATGAAACCAGTAGGGGTGAAAAGTGGATGGATGCCCATGTCTCGTTAAAAGCGAAGCTTTCGCGATTTGGTCTGATGTAGGTGCCATTGGAGAGAAACTGGCCATGAGGGGCAGCGATGGCCAAAGAGAGGTAAAAAGCCAGTCCCAGTATGCCAGGTAGGATAGCAGTCAAAGAGAGTCCAACGACAGTTAGTATTAATCCGATCCGGCTGGGTTGCTTTGATTCCCTAGAAGCAGTGTACACTTTGACTTTCTAGGGAAGGAGGATACAACGTAAGTATTTGACAAACTTTCAAAATGGAGAACACTTACACCCTCGCTCTGAGCACTGGACTGCAAAGTTTGCCGAGCGAAATTCCATGGAGGCGATGTGATCTCATCCTTCAATAAACTGGATGAGGGGCTGTTATAGTGCAACTGATCAAGCATAACATCACTTGAACGTGTTGAAAAGGGTAACATGATCTAATATTCGCGACAGACCAGGAGCCTGGAGGGGAAGAGAAACATACCTCAGAATGTTCTTCCTTTCTATCATTTCCATCATCTCCATCATTCATGTATCGTCTGCATCATCTTGCAAGAGGATATCAAAACAATGTAACTCAATTAGTGTACATTCGATTGCTGTGCATCTGAGTTCACGCCATGTGGGTCAGCTTAGCTTGCTGTGAAGCTGACCACTTTATGTATCATATTTGTTCCTACTGATCGTCATGAGATGAATTTAGTGTTCATATCAACCTTCAATTAGACTTCCAAAGGAAACGGGCTTCAAATTCACGATTGAAGCACTTGAATTTACTTAAACTTGCTGGTCACTCCAACTTGACAGAGTCTTGAAGTACGGGTTGGATGTTAATCTTTGAACTTCAAAGCAAGTATCCAACCAAGGCTCAGGAAAAAGTTGAAACACGTCGATTAACGGTAGATTCACTAACTTAACTAAGACCCTCAGTCAGACCCTTTTTCCTCACAAGCTCGGGGGTCTGGAGAGGGACTTAGGACTAATCGGCCGGGCCTGGTGGTCGAGCAGGAGTACTCAAATTTGAGTTTGGCGTGGAGGTTTTTTCAAACCTCAAAAGCACCCACTTCCTCTCAATAAACCCCCGTGTCCATTTTAATTGGAGATACCTATGACCATCCCCTTCAAATCTCTCTATTCAGATTCTTTGTATCTTTCTCAGAGCTTCTTCAACAAGGACGAGAAGTTTTTGAAAGTTGAAATTTGATGTGCAGGCAATAAGTCTTTTACTTTCGAAATAAAACCAAGTCTTTTTCATTCTTTGTCCAAAAGTCTTCACAAATTAATGTACGTCTCAGATACGTTGAATCATCCCTTGTAAAGTTTTGTCTCACCTTTCAAAACGTCGTACAATATAAATCATTCAATGTCTCAATCTCAGCAAAATGCCATGGCTTCTCAGGCCCCAGGATCGTCATCTGTTCCTTTGGTAGCAATTCAGCGAATTTTAGCAAACATTAAATCAAATTTTCTCACGTCAAAAAGCTTTCTTGAAGCTTTGCTCCTGTCAAAAGCTAAAGATCCGGTGATATTAAGGGCTCAAAATGCGTGGTCCTCAAGTGCCAATCTGGAGTCCACCGGAAGGGTACTTTGTGCAATCCGAGATACTATTCTCAAGACAAAGGACGGCCGTGTGTTCTGGGACCAATGGATATTATCCCAGGTTAGTGTTCAAGAGCAGCTTCATAATTATATGTGATGTTGGATTGATCTCGTTTGTGTATATAGGCAGTTATATTGGTCCAGAAACAGCATCCACCATCCGGCAAGGTGCCGAATGGGTTTTACATCCCTCCCTCCGAAGTGACTCCTTCAATGTTTGATCACCAAGTCATAAACGAGCGGAACAAGACCATTGAGAGCTCGATGCCTTTGCTGTTCAATCTAATCAAATCAGCTTTTGATCACAGTCAACAGCTCCGATTGCGCGACAACAAGATACGTCAGGAACGTCTTGATCGAAAGAATGCCTCCAGAAAGACACGTCTACCGGCAGTGTTACCCTTAGAAGAAACACCTCCTTCCGGCACACCAAAATCTGTTGCTACCACCGGTCTATCATGCCCTCCAACAAACCTACATTCAGTTCGCGATCATGATAATCAATCCGAATCCATGATTATCGATTCTCCTGATGGTTTGCCAACACAATCCAACCTCAATCAAGATAATGACTTAGAATCTAATAAATCATCTGAAGACTCTCTCAAATCACAATCGTCTGATGACAACAACTTGGATTCAAATAGATTTGATTCAAATGAAATATCACCGAACTCACATTCAGCTCTTGAATCAGCTACTGATCAAAACAACGGCTCAGAATCAGATGGTGAATCACAAAAATTACCTGATCCTAATTCACTCGATGATCCAGGTTTGAATGTAACTGGAGCTTTAAAAGAGGCCGATCCATATGTTGAGAACTGGAATGGTTATGTCTATCGAAAATCTAACGATAGATCTGAGAATGCCAAGACTCGACATACTTCGGTAAGCCTTGTCTTGGTCTTATTGTATGGAGCGCTCCAACTGATCAAGGAGTTTTAACTCGTTCTAGGTGGCGCGTACGATTTGTTCAATGATTGCTAATGTCTGTAATCGAAGGATAAACGCACTTCAGGTCGAAAACGGGCTCACCATGCTCGCTTGCGGTGTATCTGAACGGGTCAACGCTCATCTTAACTACATAGGCCTTTCAGTTAATCGAAAAACTGCTATTCGTGCTTTGCGTCATTTAGGAGAGGAATTGAGGAAGAAGGTGATTGCAGTAATGGGAGAAGACACTTGGCTAGCTCCTTTCATCACTCTCGACAACATCGACTTTCAAGAGCACGTCCATACTACGACTGTAGAGAAAGAAAGTACAATGTGGCACGGGTCCTGGGGATACATACATAATCCAAAGATACCCAAAGGTATCTCACTCAGTCCTGAAGATTTCACTTCTGAAAAGCTGAAAGCAATCTTGAACAAAGCGGATCAAAAATCGATCAATCTTTCACACATTGTACCAACACCAACCGAAGTACAAGATTGGAAACTCGCCATAAAGTCACAAATTGTGCAGGCTCTAGTCAAATATGTAGCTGAGCCCATCAATACAAAAAAAGTACCGTACCTACACCCACCTCCAGTCAAAGAACTCCCAGCGGAAAAACCCGACATCATGATGCTCAAAATGATGTCAGCTTCTGATAACTCAACTTCAGGAGTAGGCGAATTGTATAATGCTGTATTGCAGCAGACAGGATTATCTCGAGAGAAGTTTTCAAGCCGTGCGCAAGTATGGGAAGGTGATTTGGGAACAGCTCGAATTGTGTCAAGTGTGGTTGAGGAACGTGATCCGTGCTCCGCTCCAGCTGAAAGCTTTCAACATATTCTCATGATCCTCGGGGCAGCCCACATATTGTGGAACATCTCTCAAGCAATTCTACTTGAACACTGGGGTACGCATCTCGATGCTAAGGATATGGGCGCTTGGAGGGGAATAGAAGCCCTTGGTGGTCGTCATGACAAGCCTACGAGCAAAAAGGATTTCACTGCGATGATCAAGTCAATGGAACACCTCCACGAAGGTTCCATCACGCTGTGCATCCAGTAAGTCATACTGTTAATTTGCTAGTACAAACAGTGTTTTATTAGCTGATACATCTGCAGGCGAGTCATGAATCTTGATGTTGAGACTGTAGGCAAAGACCGAGTGAAGATGACACCCGAGAAGATGAAAGAAGTTGTTGATCAAACGTACAAGCAATACTTTGGACCAGATGCTATTCAAAACGCCAAAGAAACTAAGGATGATAAGCTTCTCCGATTTCTCCTTTGAATGCAAGACTTTGCTACAGTGATCGAAGGAAGTCGCTCCATGTCGGCTGGCGATGTCGGTCGCATGATCCGGGTTTGGAAACGTTGGAGTGTCATTGCTCATGGAATGACTCGTTTAAAGCATTACACAAATTATCTACCACGGCTGATAATTTTACTCACCCAAACTCTACCGCCAGATATTGCTGAAGTTATCACACACAACTTACTGGTGTGTCCAAGTGGGCGTAAAGGACACTTTGTAGCTAAGGATTTTTTCCTAGAGGTTCAGAACTTCTGGCTCAAATTCTTCTATAACAATTGTGTAAGGAAATTTTGGTTCTTGTACAAGTAATGTCGCCTTCTTCTAATCATTTTTCTAATCGTTTTTGTTTTGAATACATACCTATACAGGGTACTGGAACTTCGATCAAGCGTCTGAGAGATCTATATTCGATTAATGTGGCCTTGGTGATTCCATCCTTTTGGTCTTTTGTAAAAACAGCGCTAATACAATTGTGAATCTTGAATAGCTTCGTGAATTCCTTCATCGATTGAAGGGACGTTCAGGCTTAAATGATGTTTATCAATCACATACAAACATTATCGATCACTCATCCTTGAGGACTTTCCTTCGAATGGCGCACCACCACAACCTGGGCAAATCTACCCCCTCTTCCACGCTTCCTCAAGGCAGGCCAGCTGATATGTATGCTGATGGTCTCAAGAAGTTGCGTGGTTTTGCACTTGAAGGCAAACTTCAAAGGTTTCGATGGCCAACTGCAGGTGGATCACACGCTCAAGATGTGGAAGCAGGCGATAGTAGTGTAAACAATTCAGACTCAGATTGATTTCAGGTTAAATAAAGTCCAAGTTATTTTATTGAATATTATCATCTTTCAACTAAACATCGTATGCAAGTTTAAATTAAGTTTATGTTGTAAGGTTTTAAATAAAATTGAATACGAGTACAGATTAAAATATTGCTATTTGTTAGTTTGAATCAAATTAATCATAACAAATCAATTTGATAAGATGATACACATATGTATAATCTTTCTCGATGGAAAAATGAGTGTTTGACATATCATTGAAAGTTTTCAAGTGTCCTGTTCTCTTTGCCAGCTTCCTGGGAACGAATTCTTTCTTCTTCTGCCTCAACTTCGCTCCTGATTTGTAATTATAGAAAATTAGCAACCCAACATAAAATCATGAAACAATTTAGGCTGACATGGTTTGACCAGTTTTCAAACTAGTGAGCATTCGCAGATTAACAACTCGTTGGGCTTCTTTCTCAGCTTTTAGTCGATCTGCAGCCTTTTTTTTTGCATCCTTGTTTTCTTTGCGTTGTCTCTTCGCTTCCACTTCAGCAAGGTTGTCTAGCTTGCTTTGCCTCCTTTTTTTCTCGGTTAGATCACGCGCCTCTTTCAGCCTTGCTTCACGTTCTTCGTGTTGTTTAGTAAGCCTAGCCAAAGTGATCGCCTGCATCACTCTGGTTTCTGCCTCCCTAGCGCGGATTGCAGCCAAGGCTTCAGAACCATTGGTTCCCATCTTCCAATCTTGAATATGAATAAATAACTTAGCCACACCTCCTGGTAAAATATCACAGCCCAGAATACCATACACGTCGTTCTCGGTCTTGATGGTATGTATCTTATCCAAAACTCGCCAGATATCGTTCTCGTCAAGATAAGCTGAAGCTCTTAGCCGATCAGAATCTCCCATTAATTCCTTATGGTGCAAGAAGATTATACCAGATAGTTGTTTGGCCAATTGATTCAATTCAGCCTTGCGAGGAGGCGGAACATTACGTTTTTGATTGATGATCGGTGCATCCAAATCAATTTGATTGGATGCATCATCACATGCTTCCAGAACTATGCGCGCAGATTTTGAGTTTGGCAACGAGATGGGATCTTGAAGACCAGCATCGAAGTTGTTGTTGGTGATCCATTTCATCCGTAAAGCCAACTGCCTGCTTGCTTCCGGCTCACAATTTGAGCATCGGCAAGCACACATTCCTGCTTTCTCTTGTTGCTCCTTCTCAGCTAAATAAATATCATCGTCTTTGGACATTGGAATTCGACCAATCCTATGTAGAAAACACATCAAATAAATCAGCGGCCACTCTCACTATCTTTGTATTGTATATAGATAGAAGAACCAACAAGTTACATAGAGTTGTTGCAATGCGCAAGCAAACCGGAGTGATGGCCAAACCATCCATCAGGTCATCATCAGAAAACTCATCCAAACCTTCAAACTCAGATACTGAATTCTTCCCATTTTGTCGATGCTTCTCAACAAAGAACACAGCCAAACCGGGTTGACCATTACGTCCACATCGGCCAAAGATTTGGGAGACTGCTGAAGCGTCCGCTCTTCCCATTTGATAGACACGCCGTACTCATGTCCAGTTTTGACCAAGCCCTAAGGCTAAAGTACAAGAAACTACTGGATAAACCGAATTGGCAAAGTCTGCAATATTCGAAATCTTGTCTGTAGGACCCGTGTTGGAATGATACCTTTGAGCAAAGGTACTTTTTGAGTTGAATTCACCTTTTGGAACACCTCGCGCATGGTTGAGTGTTTTCAGCGCGGTCATTGTTAACTTCCTCGTGTTGCAATAAATCAGTGTAGGTGGAATTTGACTATTTGGAATCTCGGTTTCAAGTGCAAACTGATCCAAGAGATCCTCGAGTGTTGCTCGAGACTTTTCCATTGGTGATCGTAAGATTGTGATCTCTGGTCGAGTTAATTCCCCTTCTATATACTCAATATCACACTTTCTCATTTTTAAATTAGCATAAATCAAATCTCGATGCCTTGGTGGACAAGTAGCGGACATCAACAGTAATGGAACCCAATCAGTTGCTGCTAATCGCAATCCCATCTTTCCGTAAGAAGGTCGGAAGATACCTGCGTCTTGTATGCTTTTTGCCCAAGGTAGGTTCCTTTTCCCACTCTCAACAATCCCCCAGCGATATATCATATGCGCTTCATCAACGACTTTTAAAATTAAGCAATCACAAAACCATTGGCTGAAATACATGTTCTTGAATATCTCGTTGTTTAAGAAGATTTCCGGACTCTAATACAGAAGTATCCCAAGATTTCAGTCCCTGAGCTAGTGATAGTACAGCTAAAGGATCAATAAATTGAACATACAACATATAAGACACTGTAAGCACCGTCCTGAATTTCTTCTACAGTCTTCTCGGTGAATGTTTCCGCAGTACAGTTGAAAGCAGCTATTCCGGCGCCGACTTTTTCGGTCACCTGAAGAACAGTTGCAGATCTGCTACTGTCAGTTTTCCATTATTTGACAACACCTTTGCCAGGTACGTAGACAGATATGTAAGTTTACGTGCCTGGTTATCCCCCAAAGCATCTAGAGGGTTTAGAACTAGACACAGTGGCTTTTTACGTTTTCCATGCAACCAAAAATACATCTCCGCAATCCTTGTTTTTCCAAAGCCTGTCCCCGCATGGAAAAAAACATTCTTTCCTCTGACCAGTTGTTCAATGACTTTCACCTGCAGCGGTTTTGCGTCTTGGTTGTAACGCTTTCGAAAGACTCGACGTATCAACGCATGAAGTGATTCGGACGACATCTGAAGTATGCGTTTCCTCAGACGTACGCGTCCAACACGTTTAGCATCCACGGTCGGCTGTTCACACTCGTCTTCCCAATCGGAGTCGTCATCGAAAGCCTCTGAATGAGTCTTTGCATTCGTGTCGGTGACGGCAGTATGCTGATCAGGAGGCCTCATGGCAAATGAGATTGGAGGTATGACACTTTGACTGTCTGACTTCAACGTACTCACGACCAATCTCATTTGAAGCAAGTTAAATCATCTTTAACTAGATTCGACTGGTAACTGCCCAGGTTTTGCACTCGAAATTTGGCACTTGAAGCTCTTTTGCTTCCACAAGTACTCGCTTGGGATCAATGAACCTCGTTCAAAGACTCAGATGGTTCATTTCGAGCTTCTGAACAATTTGGTCTACTCAGATATCTTGTAGCGTTTGAAGTACAGTAGATACAAGGGTGTATAGGGGATTTACCCGAGCGGGGCTTTTCGGGTCCCTGCTCGACCACCAAAATATTGCGATAATTCGCAAGTCCCTCTCCAGGGCACCGAGCTTGTGAAGGTATGAAAGCCCCTGCGAGTTTGGGACTTGTGTTAAGTTAGGTAGATTCACCTCGAGTGTACTTCATCACTTATTCCGAATCCTTATCAAGGATAAGTGTAAATATCGTCTCAGAGTCTCGAAGTCTGAACTTGAGTCCTCAGCCTACTTTCCGCCGGGCAGTTGTTGGGCGCACCCGGGCACACTGACCGCACATTGATCGTGAGCTCAAGCTGCAAGCATGCCCGGAAGGCAGGTAGGCTTGGGGCGCGCCGCGCTGGAGCTTCAGTCGAGCTGACTTTGATCTGGAAAAAGACAGACAATATGATTTGTAAACACTTTACATATAAGATATTTATTCTTGTCGATGAAGTGACTGAATGAGCAGAGGTAGGATGGTTGTTCAACGGTTTGTAACCTCTCAAAAATATGACATCCAGCTATTGGGAAGGTCCCCGATCCCCCGGCTTACATTTTCTTAAATTGATTCCCTCCAGATTGATCCCTACAGCAATATTGATAAGAAGCTAGCACAACTTCAACCACGATAGATCAAAGACCGGGTCATCAAAATGGGAGGGATTTAAGGCTTCAATCAGAAACTTTGAGTCCAAGAGAAGGGTTGCAATATGATGAAGTCCATCATGTATGAGGAGATATTGAAAGAGTCCAACAAGAGATACATACATAGTCACTGTCGAGTTGATCCACCTAGATTGCTTCTATTCCTCAGAAGGGGCGCTCAGATTGACTTCCTAGAGAGTCGAAAAACAAGATTAGTATCTCTGCAAAATTCCAAAGATGTAAGTGCACTTAAAATGGTTATTGACCTGCAAGAATCAGGTCATCAGCTTGATGAAAGCTGAGCACTGGTCAAACTAAGATGCGGACAATCTGAAGTAAAAGCAAATTCTAACCACTATGACTGCTTGAGTTTGCTGAGAGAAAAAGACCAAGGTAAAGAGCACGCAAGAGCCTTCATATAACAAAATCAAACATTGACGTCATATCATCACAAAGATCACAAGTGGATGATGTAACAAAGAAATCACTGATCATTCATAAGCCAGCTGATGATTAATATCTTAATCAACCTCGCAACATTGTTCCTGCCTTAAGCAAGTCCCTCTAGCCAGGAGATGTGCTAGTCAGACACTTTTTCCTCACAAGCTCAGGTGTCTTGCGAGGAGTGGGAACTTGTGATAAGCTCTAGTTATTGGGCTGTCGCGGACCTTGGTGATGACTGAGACCCCTAGATGGTGAAGTTACCAAGATATCTCATTGGTCAAACTGAATGACGCACTGATATCATTCAGCTTATCAATACCATTCGAATTTGTTTGGAGAGACACATTCGTGCTAGTCAACAAAGGAAGCAGCAAAAACGGCTTGAATACACGTTTCCATCCGTTCTCGTAACCTCCGATTTCATTACAAGAACCTCAATGCTATGTACAATCAATGCCTGTTGACCGTTGCGTTCACAGCGTTTGGGTAATTCTTCTACTCGCTGTATATGAAGACGTCGGGTCATAACTATGGCTATGTACTTTGTGAGTTTCTTAACCGAATCGAAGACCACACGAGATATATTCTCCTGCTGAGCCAGGTTTAACTTTCAATCTATATGCCGAACTTTGATGCTGGCAGAGCTGATCATTTGTTTGGTCGGATGGGGGGGTATGTAACCCACTTGTTCCACGAATCACAACTGGTCGGCCCACGCACTGATGACGGATGGACCATTGAACCCAGGAGTCCGCTGTATCCAGAAGATGCACATTGGTCATTCCGATAAATAGCAAGGATAAAGGGGATTAGGAGGCATCGAGTTGAAAGAGTTCGAATGAAAAAGTTATGGGGAACGAGATGCAGGAGAGATGAATTCCAGACCAACTGCGCCTGGTCACGTGAAAGGGGGATGACAGGTCAAACTCCACCTTAAAGCGCTCGAAGCCGCACCGGTGCGAAGTCGGATGGTTTTTATGTAATTCAAATCCACAATTCGAATACATATCTGTCGTGACTCGTAATCTTGTTCATAAAAATCGCGAGAACTCTCGCATGTCTGCAGGATTTCCCATTGTACAAAACATATATATCTATTAAAGTGCATCTTCGAATTGAAGACGCTTGCGCATTTCCCCGACTTCCCCCCGTACAACCTGAGTCAATTGGCGGAAAATTTGGTGTAAACATTTCTGAAACCTTCCATCGCGAACCATTCAGCCAGCTGACCATCAACGTCGTCTCCATCAACACATTCATAAACCCACCTCTCATCTTTTCACTCCCTTCACCATCCCGATACCTCAGTTTCAACTCGTCATTATTCACCCTTTCTCTCTTCTTTGCAATGTTATTCTTTGTAATTTCCGTTATTTTTTTGGCATCTATCAACGTCGTCGAGATGGCCGTCACCAAGCTTCCAATTCACAAACACCGCGCTTCAAAACGTGAAGAGGGGCAAACCATGACATGCTCTTTATACGACGACGCCCATACTGCGGGAGCATGTGAGTCTCTTCGAATTCCAAGTTTTTTCAAACAATTCGCGAGCTGATCATTCCTACATTAGGGTGCAACCGTTCTCATATGTGCGTTGGTGGCTGCCAAGGTCCATATATCAGTGAGTGGGTTATGAGTATCGATCGTAGTTCGTTATAGGCCTGACAAGACTACCACACATAGCTGCGCAAAACTGTCGTGAAATCACCGAAAATACCGACGCCTTGGGCACGCCAGTGGTAGCCGGGGTAGAAATCATACATGTGCAGAGTGTTGTATGTACTACTGCTTACGATAATTATGCTCAGGGAACGAAAGGTGAGTGATGCTCATGACTAGATTACCACTGGATTCTCCTAACTGCCAACTCTTTACAAATTGACCTTCATAGCTTGCAATACGGACACGAAGACATACTCTTGTCGAGGTGAACCTCTGGGCGGAACTCACGCAAGTAAGCTGGCCTCATACTTCATCATGAGACCGAAAGCAAAGATGAGATCAGTTTCTAATGATCTTTGTTTTTTCAAAACAGCCTGTCATGGCTGTGTCGGCACTAGTCATCTACTTTGGCAATCGGATCACTAATCTCGATAATTTCTCGCGGCGTGTCATAAATTCCCCCACATCTCATAGATGAGATGGTGCTTCGTTCTCTTCGGTACGACTACTGTTATGTCGGGTACATGAGTCAACGTACCTTCGTTCATACCTCACGGCCCTCAAAACTTTTCAAATCAGCTGAACTGCGTCCAGTGTGACTTCTTCGTTCATTTCGACGTTCCAAATTACCATCTTTATACTTCTTCCAATTATATGTTTTTCCTCCTGGCCGAGTACCCAAAATTTTGCTTAGAAATCATAGAATGACATCCTATCGCTTTTGTTGCAGTTTATTGCAATGAACTAAGTGTCTGTTGCGGGCCGCTCTTAGACATGTTTTTTTTCTTGTTTGGCTAGTGTCCTTAGGGGGTACGCAGCTACATACTCAACCGAATGGGATCCCTTCATGACAGAAGACAGGCCCAACTTCTCATTCGATTCTAAATCAAATATCTTTTTGTCCCCATATTCCTCATGTCACAGCATAACTTCAGTCTCCGGGTAGTATGTATATGGTTGCATTTCAGGAGAACGGATCACTCTTGTAATTTTTAAAAGCTCCACGATTTGGGAGAAAGCAATAAGACTCCGAGCTTATGATGGCATTAATGCTTTCTTTGAAATGGCCCTCAATTTAATTGCTAATGGATTGAATGATTATAAGAGTCATTGGGAGCTTCTGATCCGACCGTGATTATACGGCTTCTGGCTTTTTCATAACCAACTTGACTTGTCCACAGAAATCACAACCTCAGTCTACACAACAAATAAAACCTGTCAAACTTGCATCATTCTTCTCAATAATCAAATACAATCAAGTATAAGATCAAGATGGAATCCGTTCAATCAACTAATCAAGTAAGCCTTCCTGGTCAAAAGTCACCTACTTACGAAGCAGGACTAGTATTAAAGATGTTGAATTATGAACCATTAAGATATCTGACGGGAGATTCAACGAATCAAGTCCTTCTTGTTAAGAATAAAAAGTCTCACCAATTATCAACAATAAAAATTCATAGAAAACACGAGAACAATGTGTCGAATCAACTTGAATCACATGTAAGCGAACTTATCGATTTACTTATGCGGAGAGATCAACAATTTCCATTTTGGTGTAAATTTTTTGGTGTGATTTTAGAAAATAGGTTTACCGGATTAGTCTTCGAATTTATTTCAGGCGAAACTTTGCAATCTTTAGCTAAAAGATCAGGTGTAAGTTTGATAAATCTTGAATTTCATTTTTTCTTCTCTTCCATAAATAACATTGACTGATTCCGGTGTTTCGTTTGGTTTGACCGTTGAACTTGTAGGGCATGAAACCACATGAAGCCAAATTTTATATTGCAGAAATACTCTTGGCTTTGAACTACCTTCATGAACATTCAATCGTTCATAATGATGTAGAAACGGAAAATATCATGATTACAGAAACCGGTCACATCAAACTAATCAATTTCTCTCGTTCAGAAGTAGTGGAATATCAAGAGAAATATTGGAACAAGTACAATAGAGTCTCTCGATCTATGAATCCTTATTTCAATGATTGGATCTCTTTAGGTTCAGTGACTGAAGAAATCATTACATCAGGTAAGATACATCTTTTTACTTATACCCCTGTTTTTTGATAACTAACTCTGATCTTATCATTGATTTTAGATTATAAAAGTTATCCTGGTTGGGAAGATTGTATTTCATTCATAAATCAAACTCAACAAGTAAATGATAGAATCTCGGATATGAATCTGTTCCATCATCCTTGGTTCAAAGACTTACATTGGTATCGTGTTAAGAACTTAGAATATCAAGCACCATATCTACCGGAAGTTCAAAACCTCGGATAACTTACTACTGATGTACCAACTTAACTCATTCCAGACTTGGCTGAACTTGTTATCTCAGCGTAATGCAAATTTGTGTATTAATAATTGAATATTGTACATAATTTCTATAATCTCCATAATTATTAGATTTTCAGCCAAGGCGGTATGTTTGAAGAGAACTTGAAAAGTCTTCCTTGATGCTGAGTCACACGTGAATAGTTGGATATCTGACGAAAAGGGTGCATATAAGTTACAAAAGATTTTCTTGAAGAAGGACATGTGTAAGAAATATGAATGAAATCAGTCATGTAGAGACAAGGGTATTTATGATTGAGACAGCATGATGAAGTCAAGGATTTAGTCATGCAACATATTGATAAGAAAAATCTCAATAATTCTTGTTTGGAACTTTGAAATAGTGATTGATGTATTAAATTCACCTGCTATTGAAAAGGATGAAAAATTGGATGGAGAGGTCAACAAAGGTGAGCCTGAACATTTTTCTGTTTCCATAACACTAACCTCATTTCACCCACTGTGAATCTACCATAGGTATGAAGATGATAAAATATTTCATGCTTCTTGTTTCCATAACTTTCCCATGTCCATATGTGGGACAATTTTGTCCATGAAGTTCATGTATAGTCAGACTTGGTTGTGAAGAGACTGCACAGTACTTGCCTGCAAATTACTGCCACACAAAATCTCCTGTTGTCCTCATTTATACAACAGATGTGATCTGTGTTCACACTACAAAAAATCTAACATCTTCTGGGCAGAAAACATGAGTATAAATACACAAAAATAATGAGCAGTCTTGAAGAGGGTAAAAAATAAAATAGAAGTTTTTTTCTTTGTTGAAATAAATGAGCCATGTGGTTGGGAGAAATGTGAACATAATAATATGAATTTCCGTTTGAATCTATAAATAGTCATAAGTAACCTCTTCATTATTATTTATGTTTAATTGGTAAAACACATTATTTGACTAAAAGAATATAACAACACGATCACATTGATCAGAGGCTATATTTGGATATATACCAAGTTATGATCCCTTCAAACTGATGATGTTTCACTCCCCTTAATATTTGGAAGATTTCTGCGGGGTGTGTTGTTGCATGTGCTTTTAACAGGTTCGAGAATCACGAGAGGTACAAGTGAGCAGTTCTAAGATATACGATTACAAAAAACCTGACAAGTTGTACAATACTGGTTTGTACTTGATTTTTTTACATTCATAGAAAGAGGAAAGTCTCATGATGGGAGTTCATGCGCAAGTATAGCTATCAGGTAAAGCAGATGGATCTCTTCACTTCAAACTAGCGTACTCCTGCAGGAGCTTAGACACGCGACGATTCTCTCTGTTTCAAGCCACGCGGAGTACATATTTGCCTTTTAAGGGCTATGTCGTTGCTCGACAATTTGTGTTGTCCAGTTTGAGAGTTTTTTCTTTGGTTGTATGAACATATCTTCATTAAATATGTAGTCAAAGTATTTGATGTTCAGTCCTCACTATGTCTCGTATGAGCTTTCGATCACTCATAGGTCAAGTTTCGTGTCAAGTAAAGATAAATTTACACTCCTATAGAATCACATCTATCATCTCCGTGGTGATGTTGGTCTTCTAACCCGCCAGGATCTCATGACAAGGCAATGTGACACAGGCACGGGTGCTTCAAAGATCGCATCTTTGTATTCCTCATACTATGTCTTAGTATCCAGTCTCTGGAATCCATTCAGTAGAGCGCCAGAAAAAGAGTTAACTTTAACTATCCCGATTGAAAACTAAGAGATATCAAGGTTTTACACTCAAAGAACAGGGGATGAGATGAAATTTTTCCCAAAGAACATAAGCCGCGGATTTTACATGGGGTATAAATGGTATATCTTTTCTCAAAAATAAATTGAGAAAACCCTCGATTACGAGCTAGTGAGAAAACGTCACATATATAGAAAGAAAGGAAGACAATTTCTTTAAATTGGAAGTCCTGCTACTTTTCGGCAAACTTCAACGGTCCTGTGGCCCTTTTTGCGTAGATGAGCAATGTCTGATTTTTAGTTTTTTGAGAAGAAAGTAAACAAAAGGTCAATTGTCGATCGAAGATTTGAATGACGACAAGGTAATGTGATATTTTTTATTTGAAAAGGGCTTACCTTCTCGGCGACAGTCACAAACTGGTAAGTCAAAGGAACACTCGATAGTAGAGCCCATAATGTTCCTAGAAAGGAAACAAATTCAGAAAGTTAGCCTCCACTCCCTTATTGCTGTGCGCTTAGCCCACACAAAAATCGAGCAAAGGATTTGAAAATAGATCTGGAATGAATTTACGATGGATCCAAGGGTGTCATTGTGCGATTGACAGCTCCTACCCCATACTTTTGCTGACATTCAAATGAGACTTCGCCAATGTGTTCAGGGTTAAATCCATATTTCTCTACAATTACACGTGCGTTTTCAAAATCGTTGATCGCTTTGGTAGTATGGGGAACAGTACGAATGATATTGAATAAACTGAGAATCCACAAAAGAAAGGACGATTTGCTCAGTTCATGTAAATGAGATTATTTTTTCAGATGTTATAAGTATGACTCACGTTCCGTTGGCACTGCAATGCGATAGCTTGTGGTCATGCCATTTTGCCTCATTATCTTTCGGGTCGCATGGGTCCTATGAATGATCAACTTATTTAGCCTCTGACTAGTCATGATCTTCTAGGAAGAAACTTACGCTTCCAATAGTCACGAATGAATTCTATGGATAAGAAGGAAATGTGAGTCTAGTGTTTCGGGAGATATAGATGTAAGAGAGTTCCTACCATTGCTTTCAAGAGCTTGGATAAAGCGATGGCTGTCGTGGCATTTTTCACGTTGTGTTGAATCTCGAAAGTGTTTTTGAGTTCTATGGGATTAAGGAAAGTACCATTCCTGAGAGCTTGGCCCAATCCGTCGTCCGAACTAATTCCTGCTTCAAAAAGAGACGCAGTTTTGTTTGCAAGGAGCTCTTGTGCGGAGTGTTGAGTTTGCGAGAGTTCGTAGTTAAATTCAGACCACTAGAATTTCCCCGACTGTCAGAATTCGAGTAGTACTTGATGTGATTCTCCAGAGCTAGACTCACGAGGTCAAACTGATTGGTTTGTAGTGGTCCAGAAATGCTATGAGGGCGTAGCGTGAGTTGAGCGGCGATAATCGCAGCCAATGAAGCCAACATAAAGCCAGTAAATGGCAAGCTGACGACCGAAGTGAGAACAAATGGTGTTGCAGTGAATAGTAAAGCCGGGTTTCCAAAAACAAAGATGAAAAGGGCTCCTAGGACTTGAATTCCTGCTGCGATGGTCTCCATGATGAAGACAGCTTTGAGATCATCATACTTTGAAACAGCTGGGAATCTGGATAACATTAATGTAGTTTGAAGGTATACCGATTAGATCATATGAATTCACATCCGAACCGCTGGAGATGACTTACAGATCTATCCACAGTGAAGACACAGTACCTGGACACGACGTCATACATAATATTTCAGTATTGAATATTCAAAAGACACTCGAATATTTAGAAACATTAGACACTCACTTTGTGTTAACGCATGAGCATAACCAAGGACATTGTACATCCTATTGAGGTACATGTTGAGATGCTGGGTTGCAAGTAAAATGTACCAGTCTGGGAAGGTGACTGGAGTGCAAATCTACAACCGAGAAAAAGCAGTTTGATCAGATGAACAATAAACCATTTATTTGATGGTCAACATACCTGACCAATGTTACAATTCTCGCCTGGATTGTTATCAAGTTTTGGATTGCAAGTAGCACTTATTTTAATCAGTGTCAAATTCTGAAGTTTTGGACTGGTGCAATGTGAGATAAGACGAAGATTATTTTCTTACCAATGCCACACTTAAAATTAGGTGCGCCTTTTTGCCGAGCGTACTCCTACAGAATGGCAAGACAAGTTTAGTTTATGCTTCCTATATATGATAGACAGGGTAGGAATTAGCCCAAGAATTGTGCAGGTGTCTTAACTTGAACGGATATGTTCATCCCCGCGGGGAATGTATGTAGATAATCATCCCAATGGAATTGATTCCAAGTCGATTGATCGAGTGGGTATACAGCACAAAGATCGCTGGAGTTGGTGGGCGGGTTGTTCAAAGCCACTCCGTTCGCATTGGAAGGACTCGTGAGATTAGAAGCTGGGATGTTACCGTCGATTGGAGCATTAACCATTGGAGCCGTAGTGTTCAGAGCGGTGGTGTTGCTTAATGGTGGCGTGGGTAGATTCCTTCTATGGAGTTCGGGGTAGGTGCTCTCCTGTGCCTCTCCGCGCGTGAGATGACTACAGCTGACGATGGCCAAGATGACGATTGATTTCAAGTTACTCATGGCCGTCCGAGGTCTTCCAAAGTGAGCAGCAAATGAGCTTTCGGGTCCTTGCTGTGTGGTTTTGGGAGATAACTACGTTTAGTGCTTTGAGACTGATTTTATAAAAGAATGGCAAGCGTGAAGAGTCCGAAAGAATGATGAGATTTTAATTCCGACGATGAATGAATGTTTGAAAGGAATGTTGTAAAAGATAAGGCCAAGTTGTAGAATCAGTTAGGAATACGTTGCGACCCAGCTGGCTAAGATTGGCGAAGCAGGTTCTAACAAATGTGAAGTGTTCCGGCGAATGAACCCGAAGCGTAGCAAGAGATAAATCCTGATGAGATAAAGTCGCCACTGACATCAAGTATGAGAACAGCGGGGTAGATCGGCTTCATCTCACGTATGAAATCAGCGGTTTTGAATGGTACAAGACTGATTTGGAAACATTGAGGTGTTTGATGATAGAGAACTCAGATATCGATTCGATTTCTGTGGGATCGAGAAGCTTTTAGCGCAGTTCTGGGTATCATTGTATGAAGGGGTTGAGCTTAACGAAACAAGTTCCATACAAAACTACGTTACCCACATACCTCACCTCGTTCGCGAGGATGCAGTCGATGTTCACCTGTCTGCTGAGAAACGCGTCATACATTTTCGAACGACGATAAGAAGCAATATACATCACCGCTCCGACGAAAAATCAAGAATCGTTATCTCATCGAAAGAGTCATGTATCTGAATCAGAAAGCCATACCTCAAACCTCTGGAACTCATTGCAGATCCATGATAATGTCATCCAGCCTCATCCAGCCCGTGGGGCTCGGGCCTTTGGCGAGGGACTTTGTTTGAGTTTGCCCAGCCCGCTTCGTGACTTCCTTACACTGCAGTCATGCGATTCAAGTGTAGCATAATACAACAGAGATCACTTTGAGTGTGATGTTGTTGTGAACAGTAAGTAGAAAAGATGAAAACGCATATTTCAATCTATCATTTCAAATCAAATGTACTTTGTTATCATTCATCATCAACAAATAAAATCAAATTAATCATGCTTCTTGCTTGATTTTAGCTACGAGGTCTTTTCTTATCAAGTCACAAAGTTATACTACCATTTCAGATATTGATCTTAAAGATCACACCAGTGAGTTTTCAAAATAATAATCTGATCATTTTAAAAACACTCAACTGATGTGATTATATATCATCTTCTTTTAGTTATTCAAAACCCAGTTAGAGTTCAACTCTTACCAAGACCAATTCATAAACAAGTATTTCCCAACAATCCATTGCAGCCAGCTGATCCAGTTATCTCCGGGGATAATGAAGCGGACTGCCCACGGGGTTTTGACCCTTCGAATTCTTTAAAATACATGTTGACGGTCAATATACCTCTCGACTTACAGCCGCTCCTTCAACAAGTCTTCCCTCCTAAAATCACATCTTTACTACCTTGATTTTGTTTGCTCTTATGACACATCTACATGTTGACTCCACGAGAAGTTTTCCGACAATCAAGGCCTGGAGTCTTCCAGGATTTAGACGACGCCAGTGAAGTCATCCTCAAACGACAGTGAAACATTCGACAGCTGCAGTAAACAAGTATTTCGAACTCATGAGTTCATACCCCGTAGTACTATTCCCAGCGACTTCGCAAATCATATACC